TGAGCAACCAATATACATGTATTTATTATGTAATTGACCTCGATAAGAGCATTGCTCTTGATGAGCAACCTAATGTATATATAAAGGGGTAGAGAACGTGTGTTGCAGGGAGTTAATTTTTTTAGTAAACAAGAGTCAGTGCTGTTCAAGGATATATATATATATATATATATATATATATATATATATATATATATATATATATATATCATGTAAGAAATTCTAAATGGAATTAAACAGTTTTTATTTAAAGAACAGTTTCCGACAAACAAAGAATACAAAGATTAAATCTGTCATATGTAAAATGTTGTGTGCCATTTACACAAAACACAATAAAAGCATTTCAGAAATTCTTCAATTTTCTAAACATATAAGGGGATTCACCTTGATATCTCACGCAAGCTTCTTTCGTGTAGCATGTTAGTAACTTGTACTGTAGATTCCCATTTCATGGTGGGGAATTATTATCAACATAAAAATGCCAGAAGTACCCCTCATAGATCTTAAAATCTTGGGATTATTTTGATTAGTTTTCTGCTATCTGTAAACTATATGAAATTACTTGTTCACATATAACAAAACTTTGGTGCTCACAATTTTATGTTCTCATGATTTGAAACAAATTTAAATGGCAGAATCATGAAATTGAGTACTCTTGTAATGTGAGGAACCTACAGTATTATTTATATGAACTTTAGTATTAATTTAAATCATGCTTTCACAAGTATGCATGTTCCTCTCTGTCTGAAATATGATATCATAAAGTATCATATTGTGTGCATAAATGCATGGAAACTGTGTTAATAACAAGAATTACTTTACATTTTTAATTCCCTCCACGTTGATAGACACATACGCAATACAAAACTTAGACAACTATGCTTACCAACTGCCTTTCTCTTTTTTTCTGCATCATCTGTAAGAATTAAGGATAAAATCCAATTGAAGCAGTTTTTACTACAAGAAAACATTCTCCACAAGGCTCTCATAAATGTCCATGCATGCAAGCTTACACAGCATTCATATGGTTGAGTAAAAATGGAATTTTGGTAATCTAATTTCTATCAACACAATGATGAAGGAAGGAATGAAAAGAGTACCTAATTCCAAAACAGACAAGCTAATTCAGATAATCTGTGTCCCAGCTTAATGAAACAAGATACCCATGGGACACATCGCTCACCTAAGGACATTGGGTTAGGCAAAAGCACAAATCAGTCCAGTATTGAAAAGATTAGGGGGGGGGGGCTTGAATTTTAAACTACCTGATGATGCTTCCATGTCAATATAACAAATGGCTTTGTTGTACTTGAGAAGATTTTAAAAAAAGAATTCCCATATATTCCTTTGTAAAAATTTGATCCCCCATTGTGGCTCCTTCCTATGCCAGGGGCCATCATTTAAACAAACTTGAATCTACACTAACTGAGGATGCTTCAATATCAATATGACTAAACATAGCTTTTCTGTTTTTGAGAAAAAAAAGATATTCTTATATTTTCCTATGTAAGACTTTGATCTCTCATTGTGGCCCCACCCTACCCCCGGGAATCGTGGTTTGAATAAGATAAAATCTACACTACCTGAGGATGCTTCCATAATGACCAATCATGGCTTTGCTTTTCTTGAGAAGAAGATTTTTAAAGACTTTTTCCTATATATTTCTATGTAAAATATTTTTTTCCGATATATTTTCTATGTAAAACTTTGATTGTCCATTGTGGCCCCGCCCTACCACCGGAGGTCATAATTTGTACAAAATTGAATCTTCACTACCTGAGGATGTTTCCACAGGAGTTTCAACTTTCCTGGCCATGTGATTCTTGAAAAAAGGATTTTTAAAAGATGGTATTAATTTTTCAATAAATCTTAATTATGTCCCCTTGGAAGGGGGCGTGGCCCTTCATTTGAACAAACTTGAACCCCTTAACCCAAGGATGCTCTGTGGCAAGTTGGTTGAAAGTGGCTCAGTGGTTCTGGAGAAGAAGTCGAAAATGCGAGTAGTTTAGAGACAGACGGACTACAGACAAAATGTGATCAGAAAAGCTCACTTGTGCTTTCAAGCTCAGGTGAGCTAAAGAGAAGAGCATGAGTGGATTGGGAGGGGGGGGGGGACACTTTAAAAAGGGCCAGGGCCAAAGGGAGTTATGGTATAAATTTCATTGCAAAAGCTTCTTGAGATATCGCCCAGAAATGAAAGTTTTACACACACACAGAATGTATGAAATTACGGCATTGACTTTGACCTTAAAATAAATAGGGGTTTTCCTTAGTCCATAGGGATTTGTGGTATAAAATTTCACTGCAAAAGAAAGCTCAAAGGCTTCTTGAGATTTCATGCGAAAACAAGTGTTAAAACAGAGAGAATTAATGAATTTATGACTTGATTTTTTTCCCTTTTGACCTAAAAATACAGGCCCATAGAAAGCAATTTTAGTTTGGGGGAGGGGGGGGGCACTATCAACTACCAAAGATTCCTTGACGAGCAAAAAAACATAGGTAATCAAAGATTACGAAGCTCACCTCAACGAATGTTATCAGTAAAAGTTATGCAAATCTCACATCATATTTTCTTTATAGTTAGTGTGCATCCTGAAAACAATATTCATGCAAGTTCTGTGTAAGAAGGTCTTATAGTTCTTTGGGAATTGACCTGTTCCAAAAACTTTAAGCTTTTCACAAATCAAGAAAATGTCAGACTTTCATTTCCTACATCTGAAGCAAGTCTGGAATGCACCATCTATGTAAGTTAAATCATAACAGCCTATATAATTATAGAGCTACTCCAAACACATTGTCATGGTTACTCATTTGGAAAATGTAGGTCAGATCCAGCATCTGAAGCAAGTCTGGTAGTGCCCATCCCTAGATACATCAACCATGCAAGTTGGTCCAGATATGGCTTATAGTTACTTGGGAATGAACCTGCTCCAAAAACTTTAACCTGGTCACTCATCTGGAAAATGTAGATCAGATCCAGCATCCAAAGCAAGTGTGACAGTGTCCATCCCTAGATGCATCATCCATGCAAGTATGGTCCAGGTAGGGCTTATAGTTACTTGGGAATAGACTTGCTCTTAAAACTTTAACCGGGACGCCGATGCTAACGCCGACACCGGGGGTATAACATAAGCTCATCTCGACTTCGTCGAGGTGAGCTAAAAAAAAAGGCGGGGCATCAGATGTTATTATTGAGGGGGCACAGGCATATAGTAGCTATGTTCTCTATAGTATTCTACAAGTGGCAAATTTATTCAAAGGGGGGGGGACTACCCCCTCTTTCCTACGGTCATGAAATAAATAGGGATCTCTCTTAGGCCTTAGGGAGTTGTTGTGTAATATTTCACTGCAAAAGGTCAAAAGCTTTTCCTGTTATCGCTCTGAAACAAGTGTTGCAGACAGACAGAAATACATACAGAAGAACAGACAGACCAAAATTAAAATTCCCCACTTTCAATTAAAGCAGTGGACAAAAATAAAGTAATCTATATTTTTAAGATGTCTAAATATCATTCAGCATTGTGAACTGACTTAATTCAATATTTCAAAGTCTGACAAACAACAAGTTCTCATCATTACATGTACCCCCTTTCAGTAAAAAAAATTCTTATAATGAATGTTGATCCAAATATTATAAAGTATTTTTACACCAAAAACAACATCCTTCTCTTGTTTATTACTAAAAAGAAGCATTTTGTTTACCAATAATATAGAGCACTTTTAAGTGTAATTATCAATGTAACAAAATAACAAATAACAAAAACTATTGAGACTCTTCTTCCCCCTCCCCCTTCCATTCTTTAACTACATGTATATCTAGAGTTCAACCTCAGGCAGGGGCAGAAGTGGAGCTCTATCACTGCATTTTTCTTTGTGGTTTGTGTGTTTGTCTGTGGACACACACACAGTCCCACAAACATAGAGAGAGAGAAATAATAACTGATACTTACTTCCTCAAAGTCTTTCAGGATATTGTCTTCATCCACCTGTATATATGAATAAACATTAATGTATACAAGAAATACCCACAAGAAATCATAAATTTTTAGATAAGCAAATAAATATTAGAAAAAACAAGAGATCCCGGGCCTTATAGGTCACCTGAGTATCATGTAACAACTTTCCAACAACTGAATTTGGTTCATGTTTTAAACCAGAGGCCTTGAAATTCACAATTTTGAAAGAGGCACCATTGCTCATCATAAATGTTTGATTAATACCATGGAGCAGATTTCAAAGCATTAATTCATTTTCAGTATATAATCATTAATCATCCCTTTCCTGATGTGTATGCATAGAGTGACAGACCAAGGCATATGGGCATTACAGACCAGTTGCAGTAAAACATGCTTACAGTAAAGTGCCAGAGACAAATGAATTTGCATTATTTATTGCAATCCATGGCTCATAATACACTTTAAAGGGTATGCATTTCACAATGCCCACAGGGCTGAAAACATGAATTTATGAAAAGCACAATTGCTGTGTTTTGATTACCTTATTTAGCCTGCATACCATATCTGGTAGCATTTCAGGTTAAAATTTTTTTTAACTTTTTCAACATTTTTTCAGGGAATGTCGAGTATTCATCTATGTGAGAAAAAATGTAAACTGACCCAAGTTATGTTATATATCGTACGACATATTAGGTATATATATGAAATTCAAGTCTCAAATGAAGGAAAGGAATGTTTTTAAAAAATACACTAACACTGGTTATTCTATGTAGCAATTTCTAGTCATCAAAGACTTTTTTGTGTCAAAAATAAATAAATAGATATATGTATATGTAATTCAAGCTCTTGATGTTTAACCTGCAAATTTCAGAAATCAATACCTTATTTTCAAGATTTGATGTCCAGTCTTCATCATCTGTACATGTAGATGCATCTGTATCCTAAAATTGTCAAGTAAATCAACATTACATTACATTACAGTACATTACATTACATTACACTACATTACATTAAATTACATTATATTACATTACATTACATGTACCTTTAATGTCATAGGTAAAGGAATATCTGGCAGCTCTTCACAGTCTTTCTCAATCTGCAAATGTATTTTGTAGATCCATTATCAATGGTATGTTATATAATTGTGAAAGCTATTGTGAAAAGTCATCAAAGTGATGTTATTTTATTTTTAAAACATAAACAACTGGCTTATTCCAAGGATTGTATAAAAGTTCAAAATTTCAATTCCCCAATTTGGCATACTCTGGTATATAATGGTATATCAGAATGGTATTGTAAAGAGATCAACCTTTTCACAAATAGATTTTTTTTTTTTTTGCTTTGTTGACAAATTTTTTGGTAACACATTTACTATCATTTTGAAAATACAAGCGATTATGTACAATACTTGAAAATGGCATTCTTAGGTGTTTTTTTTTTAAACCTAACAATATCATAGAACCAAAGTTTGTAATACAGAACATTACAAGTAATGTTAATTTTGTTTTAAATACAAATACACTTCAGAGGATGCAACTTTATTTCACCGTCAGAGTACATGAAAATCAAACCTGTTGAAATCTGTTGAAAATCATACCCATTAAATTTATACTTGGCCTTTTAAAATTTCCAGTTATTCCCTGTAAGCTCACCAAAAAATAAAGGAATAAAAAATTTGCTTGAAAATTGACTCAAACTATGGGGAGTGTGTTGGGTGGGAATTGTTAAAAACAAAACAAATTCAGTGAGTTTTGTAATCTTACTGATGATTGTCCAGGGCTGGATGTTCTCTTCTCTTTCTGCAAACAAAGGAGTAAATATATATCTGTTAGTGAGAATATATCATTAAGTATTTGTGTGGCAGATCTGTGAATAAAATATAATTTTTTAAATATTTCTAAGTCTCAATTTATCTGAAAAAAAAGAATTATCTCCCTTTTTGCAATTTTCTAAGCACCATGGAAACTTAATAGGGATAACATAAAATGCATCAATTAAATAAACACAAGTAAAACCTGTCCAATTGTACATTACTTTAATATGGACTTATATAATTGTAAAAAAAAACACTTTGTTACCTTTGAAGGAGAATGAAGCATGGGTAGATCTTCGTCAATAGCTGCTACATGTACCTATTGTAAAATATGAAATTCAAAATTCAATCTGAAATGGCCAACTCATAGTCTCATATAGATTAAAACTTGCATAGTTCACCAGTTGTAACAATCTGACAAAGCCTAAAGGGCTAAATACAATGCATTTTACAATAATTCATGTATATACTGATTGTTTGTCCATTACCTCATAACCACCAAATATCATCTACATTTGTTTATATAGTGCAGTTAAAATAAAACTGTAATCTTCCTATCCAAGAGAAAATTATCAAATTACCACTTTGGATGGTGTACAAACAGGTGTACTTGTTTTAGGGGTTTCTGTCTTCAATTTCTTTTCCTATAAGAATAATCATTTCTGTAAATTATATGTACATTGTGTGTAAAATGATATGTGCAAATAAAAAAGTTATTTTTCAAGCAATTTCTTGCATATGATTGATAAATATTCTCTAAGAATTCCTTAAACCAATTATTACTTGTGCTAAACTTACAGGGTCTTCAAACTCGTATTCCGAGTCAGAGAGGACAATGCGCTGACTTTTTGGCTTCTGTTAAAAAAAATTGAAGAATAAATCATAATCATCCAAGGAGAGATACTGTATGATGATTACTTGATATTTATTTTACATTTTATCTGGTTACTGGTTACTGTCAGGCAGTTGGACATCAAAATAAGTCCAATGCACATACACACACACCACTTCTCGGTTAGAAGTTTAAAGAAAAACATCATTTTCTAATTATTTCAGTGAAACAGATGATTATATGAGAACCTGTAAAATTAATCATATTATTTGTAAGACTTTTTTTTCTTGTAATGCATCTGAATTATAGAGATCTATACCTATCATTTGCTGTATGGATTGTATGCATCTATATGCTGTATGGTTATCGGAAATAAACCGTGGGCAAAGCGGGCACTTTCAATATATTTACTGACAGAGCCAACCAGTCTAATGAATTTGTATGTATAATTTTCAGCTAAAGGTACAGTATTTCTTTACATGATGGAACTTTATGAGGTTCACAAAATTTATGTGTCATTGTAAGGAAGACAATATACATGTCATGCAAATTTAGAAACCACTGAAATTAAAACTGTATACTGTATAAAGTATCATATGAAGATATCTACCATATCATATGTATTATTAAGGTACTTACATTTACCCCGCTTCCTGACAACACATTATCTGATTCAATGCTTGGACCCTTTAGAAAATACAACAAAATTGCAAGATTGAAAAATATATTAAAATTTAGACATCCAACCAAAGCATTCTATTCAAAATTGTGACTAATGATATCTGTATACTGTAACATAACTGAAATGAACAATGTACATCAGTATCCAAAGCTTAATTGTTATTACAGTTTTACAACAAGGCTTCAATGATTTTTACTTAAAATGTATTTCTGGTATTCTAGCTCTACATAGGAAACTCCTTCCTTCCCTAGCTCCTATATGCTGATAATTTATAATGTTCATAAAACAAGAAAAATCTTTCATAATGCATCATTTTATCAGTCTAGACAGTCATGTGACAGGGTGAATAAAACACCAAGTCTCCCAAGGAATAAATATCATATTCCACTCTTTGTAAGTCACATGTGACCATCATTTGATGTAAACAAACAAATGAATCTAAAATCTTTGAATATCCAAAATCCTTATATCAGAAAACAAAGTCAGCAATAAATTCAAATGATGAAAGAAAAGGACAAATTAACATAAAAAGGTAAACATTCACTGTGTTTTTACCTTAGTAGGGTTGGAAAACTACTGTAAATCACTTTTTATTTGCGGGAACTTCGTTTTGGCGTAATAATACTAGACAGAGTGCTCACAAAAATTTCATTTTCGCATATATTAGTATTCTTTAAGACTATATAGAGCACTAACCACAATTCGTGAAAACTTTGTCTCACTAATAAAGTGTCAATTACTATCTCGCCAAAATAAGCTGTTGCGAAAATTAAGTGATCTACAGTATTAGGAAAATGAAATATTCTGTTTAAAGAACTACGCACGCTAACTCTCGATTCCCGCCTACATTTTACACCCATTTAATTCAATATTAATGACAATTTGGCCGTAAAATCTTTGTTGAATGCGAAGAACAGTTCAATGGTAATTGACTGATAATATTAATACCAGTGTTAAATAGTTAATTACCCCTAATTCCAGCTCTTTAAGTAAGGGGGAAGACGATATTTTTCACTAAAATCGGACTCTTGGTACAAAGAATAATTTTACTAATACCTGTAAAGGATTCAATCAATTTTGATGCATGTACTGTTCTACTGGGATTTGCCAGTGAACCGAAAAACGTTCGAATATGTGTTAACACTTTGATTTATATATATAAGTGGTCAATATGGAAAACTAGAAACAGTATCAAGTATGAAAATAAAAAAATAACTACCTCATTGCTCCAAAAAGCATTCACGAAAGAAATGAAATTAATTTTTCAATTGTTAAAAAATGATAAACGCAATTTTAAGGGAGATATGAATTTAACGTTAACTGTATTAACAGAATTCGAGAAACTGTTACCTGTTTTCCACAATCCAGATTTAAATTAAGCTCCATGTATGTTTTCCCATTTATTCAATATATTGCAATACATTCATGAATCGCACCGGATTGCAAATACGAACAAGAAATTTAGAACCAAAATTGATTCCGGATAAATATTCTCTGGTTTATTTTGGTTTTTTTTTTTTATATGTTATACAATTTAATTAATATACATATTGAATGTATGATATGAATAAATTATGTGAGACATTGTATTAAGATTTAGATATTTAGCATCCTGCGTGGTGCTGTAGGGATTATTATTATATATTGTTATAGAGGGAGCTTAGTCAGGGCCCCATCCCTGGTAGCTGCCCTATATATCATCTTTAATGTTATAGGTCTGGGAAATAAATGTGGAAAAAAAAAAAAAAAAAAAAAAAAAAAAAAATCTGACTCTTAAGCATGAACACATTTTAAAATATACTTGGATATGAATAAATGTTCCTTAAATCTTCTCTTATGTTTTACTCATATAAAATTAAACATATATTATTGATAAAATAAAATGTTTTAGCTGTAAACCCCTTTGAAATTGGTGAAAAAAATAAGCATTTTTGTTGTTTTTTGTCTGTAAACATATGTCCCCCCCCCCCCCCCCCCGTGAAACACAAAAAGCTTCGGTACAAATTTGTGAAATGACAGTCCATATCACCTGTAAAAAGGAATTTTTGTTTCACGGGGGGAAAGATGTTTTAAAAATATTTTCCGTTTTCCGTTGATTTCTATAGTGAAAAACACAAGTTTTCCCAAAATTATAGAGTTATCTCTCTTTGTTTTCCCAAAGAAATGACGTTTTATGAAAATTCATATAAATATCTCTATAGATTTGAAAAATCATTCAAATGTGTTAACTTTTGAAAATTGACTTGGATGTAGGCAGGAGAACAATACTATCGTTCGCAGTTCTTAACTTAGTAATAGGTTGTTTGGTATAATAACAATTTACTGCTTGAAAGTTTGGGAGATATTAAGGTTTGATCCCCCCAGAACATACAGAAAATATCAACTTTATAGCTACCAGGTATTAACTCTCATCTGAGAATAATTGATATCATGATTAATTTTCAAAGTTTAATACTGAATACATCAGCACGACAGACCACCTTTGTTCAGAAAAATTTTCATTTCAAAGTTAAAACAAACCAAAATCAATCAAGTGGAACAAAATAACAAATCTTACTTTTTTGACATTTTTTACAATATTTCCTCGTGCTGTAATTCAATTGTTTGAAACTTAAAATTATTGACTTGTTTTGTCCATCCACAAATAATAATTAATGATGCCCCAAATATTAAACCCAAATTCTTACATTTTACTGGGCATCCACATACAAAATCTTAATTAAAACAAGCGTTTCTAAAAAATTCAGAGGGCTCTACTAAAAAAAACAATTGATAATTTATAAATTTAGCATTTATGGACACACACACACACACTTACTTGCATATATTTTAACGTAAAATCCATGGTACTTTCTCTTCCCCTTTGAACGCTTCTTTAATTCTTGGTACTTAAGGTCCCGTGGTAACTCTGTGTACGTTTTATCCTCCAACCTCATAGGTACCATTGTGAATGATGTCTTGAACTTGTTTTCCACACTCTGCATCCAATTGTCCATCGAAGAATCTTTCTCAACTCTCAATATCATAGAAGCATCCACTCCATTGAACAATCGTTGGATCCTTTTCTCATTTTGATCCAAGAAGCGAATTTCTAAACACTGGTGTTTAAGAAGAATTTTTTTTCAAAATCAAATATGTTGAAGTAGGGAGCCTAAATAATTTACAAGTAATAGACCAATTAACTCTGTTAATACATACCAACAACAACAGAAATGCACTAGACACTGAGCTATTTTAAATCAAATTCAATTGGACATTGTCATGATTTGGTTTGAACATTTTAATGTTTTATTTTTCCATTTCTGATATTTACAAAGGTTCATAACAGTACAGTAAAACACATTTATAATGAAACGCTGGGGACATACCATTTTACATCATTATTATCAAACCAACAAAACAATTCACTATAATCAGAAGAACTCTTTAATAAGTGTTGACTTATTTTTAATGACAGCCTTCTGAAAAGACATTACAACACACAAACTGAACACAGGCTTCCATGCATTAAATAACATCCTAATCGCACACAAAACATTCGGCTTTTTCCCTTCATCTACCCCAAAATAATTTGATATTGTTACCAAAGAAATAGCATTCTGTTTCCTGGTTGTCAATTCCATGTCTCAATTGACTTTAATATGACATTGGAATAAAATTGCAGTGAATAGAGAACCCAATTCATTATATAACAATTTAAATTGACGCAATGCATCAAATCAGCTGCAAAAAATATATTTAGCATCTTGAAACATTCCGACAAGAATGAGTCCAAAAGAAAAAAATTATTAACAGAAAAAAAAGTATATGATAGCTTTAATTTTCTGTGTATTTTTTATTCGTTAATTTTCAGTGATCAATTGTTTCAGAGAAGAGTCGAAAATGTTTGTTAACACACCATACACTAACATAGATGGCAATAGGTTAATTGAGTGATTCATGTGAAAACCACCCCCCCCCCCTTTTTTTAACACCCACACACAAAATAGAAGGTCCAAATTTTTTTCAATCTAATAAACTGATGATGCAAATAATAATGGTGACAAAAACACTTGTATATAACTAATTTGTCTTTAATTTCAAGTCTTTACCTCTGGTTTCTCACTCTCTTTGGAGAAGGTGGTACCAATCATCTTCTTTTTACTGGTGATGAATTTTGCCCTCAAAAAATCCAGTTTAGACTTCACTCCTTCATAGACATAAAAAAAGAAAATCTGTCAATTTACAAATCAGTTGTATATAAATGTAGTAGCTTTCATGTGCATTTCAGTCTTTTCAGTTCATTTATTTGTAAATGTATGATTATGGACTAAATATTTACAAAAATATATATTTTGATTTCTGTACAAACTTGGATTTAAGTGTAATTGCTGACCAAAGTGTATGAGGCAAATTTCTTGTCCATTTTATATTTTGCACATGTTTTCTTGCAGTTATAGATACTGAATTACATATGGATGTTTTAAGTCGGAACATGTTTTAATTTTTGCCTGTGCTATAGTTTACCATAATTCTAGTTACTACATTGTTGTTTAGCATATCATAATACTTGTATGTCCTCAGTTAAATATAAAATTTATTTACCTTCATCTTCAATCCTTTTGAAAGGGCCTGTGGACCCACTTCCACTTGGTTTCTGTTCCGCTTAAAAATGACAACAAATAAAGTAATTTTTCTACAATCTAGGAGGACATATTACATGCTTACCATCCATCCATTCATCCATTATCTATCCATTTATCTATCTATCTACTGAATATCTATAAGAATTACCTTCACTTGGTACCGTGATATCACGAGTATCTGCAACCCTGCCTAAACAATAATATCCATTTCATTAATACAATACATTTTCAAACATCCTTATCAAAACCAAATTATTTATATAACTGAATTTCCATTAACTTTAATTCGCCTTTTGCAACTGGTGTGCACTCAACATCAACAGCTGCAAACATGAAAAAAAAAACATTTTTATTGTCTATGAACATGTACATATGTCAATACATGGACATAAAATTCATCTTTCATCTCTAACATTAAAATTGTTTTATATTTTACAGCATTTTTATACTGAAATAAATATATTTCTTCATCCCAGACTGTTTTTGTAATACTTATAACAGACACCAATGCTTATTAAAGTTTGTCACACAATTGTCTATATATGCATCTTTTCAAAATTTATTTTGCAACTTTCAGTGAGTGAGAAGGGTTTGCAGCATAGTTGCAATGAAGTGAAAATTGGCGCATTAAATCAACCAGTGGTGTCGCCAAGGTGCACATCCAAATTTCAGCGATGTTATTTGGAAATATATTGTGAACGACTTTCTTGCTTGTTTTACTTTTGTTTTAAATGTAGTCATGTAAATACAACTGTTACAAATATGACTGGTTAAAACCTGGCAAAAACTGCTTCTTGTTACATGAAGCATTTTTTTAGGGCAACAAAGGAACGTTACCTCATTCATTTTCAATGTTTAATTGAAATTTTGACATTATTGACCCAAAATACACAAAATTATACTGTTTGTGGGTTCCTTTAAATGTGCTACACGGCATACATGAAATATAAAATTTGGTTAATAAAGAAATTGGTTTCCTTTTGTATTTCACATTTGTTTGTCATTTAAAAATTTGTATTTTTCTTAAAATGACCCATCAAAATATATGGATGGCCCATTCATTTTCAAAATGGCCCATTAAAAAGTTTGACAGTTGGACCATAGTCCCATTGCCCTTTATGACCTTCCCAATCACTGAACTTTTTTCATAATAATTTTGCTAGTGCTCTGGGTGGAATATGATATATTGAATATGACTGACTATAGATATCATATGTATCATTATACGTAAGAGCACATATAATCTATATATAATCATTTTTGAGCAGTTAAGCAATTTATTTTTTCTAAATTGCTCATAATAAATGGCACTTAATTTCAAAATTCAATTATTCTTTAGACCCCATACATACTTTTCTTCTTTACAGCAGTGCCACATTCCCCACAGAACTTGTTGTTGGGTTCTAGGTGACTACCACATTCTATGCAGAACATCCTTCAAAAGTAAACAAATTATAAATAGATAGTAGTTCCGAATATTTGAAAATTAATTTTGGTCAGTGGATATTCCTATTAGCTCTAAGCTTAAGAGGACAATTTGAATTTTAAATTTGGGAATAGTAAAAGGAAGATACAATGATTGATAGAAATCATCAACCTTAAAAGACATATAGCTTCTATTAATTATATTTTATAAATCTATTGATATAAAAAATAATTTTAGGGAAAATAAGATCAATAGTTATGAATGTTAATTGAGTTTCAATACAAAATGAACATTTCATTCGAATTTCCTCGATTATGAAAGACTCGCTCAGTTTTGGGAGAAAGTCAAATAACTGTATAAACTGTATTCATGTATAACTTACATCAAAAAACAAGAATTTTTGTTATTAACACTAAAACAAACAACAAAGAATATTATTGATATATTACTTACATTAAATGTAATCAGTAATGACCACGATCACGATGCCTCCTACATCAAATAAACACGATACCTCCACATCCGCGTCCTTAGAAATCTTGGCCAAATCTCGATCTCTTGAAATCTTGGCCGGCCAAATCTCGATCTTTTGAAATCTTGGCCGTTCATCTCGTAGAAGCTTGGGAATTAATGATCGAGGTCACCCGAAATCTTGGCAATGTACAGGGTCGAGGGTGTACATGGCCAGGGTTATCATGGCCAGGCCTATACGGCCAGGGTACGCGAGCAAAATGGCCAGGCTAGGCTATGTATGGTAGAGGGTTATGGGGAACATGGCCACGCCAAGACATTATTATGGAAAGCCATAGGGGACCCCCAGGGTCAGGGTCTATATAATCTATAATTTTAACCCTGGCCACCCATGATTTCTACCCTGGCCTTCCCATCTTTGAAGCCATAGGGGACCCCCAGGGTCAGGGTCTATATAATCTATAGTTTTAACCCTGGCCACCCATGATTTCTACCCTGGCCTTCCCATGTTTGCATCATGGACACCCCACGCTTTATCATCATGGCCTAGCCGTATACAACCTGGCCGATCCATGTTTGCAGCATGGCCATCCCATCTAGTCATGTTTACCCCGACCATACACAGCCTAGCCCGGCCATGTACTACCCTGGCCTAGCCATGTTCGCACCATGCCTATCCCACGCTTCTAAACATGGCCTGGCCATCTTCACCCTGGCCATGTATATTATCATGCATCTTGCATTCGACGATTAGCTATCCTGGCTGGCCATGTTCAACCTGGTCTTGCATAATAATGTCTTGGCGTGGCCATGTTCCCCATAACCCTCTACCATACATAGCCTAGCCTGGCCATTTTGCTCGCGTACCTTGGCCGTATAGGCCTGGCCATGATAACCCTGGCCATGTACACCCTCGACCCTGTACATTGCCAAGATTTCGGGTGACCTCGATCATTAATTCCCAAGCTTCTACGAGATGAACGGCCAAGATTTCAGAAGATCGAGATTTGGCCGGCCAAGATTTCAAGAGATCGAGATTTGGCCAAGATTTATAAGGACGCGGATGCGGTGTGGTCAATTACATTCAAATTGATGTAGGTCTGAGTCGTGATCATTACGTTTGATGTAAGTAATATATCAATAATATTTTTTGTTGTTTGTTTTAATGTAACTAACTCTCATTAAATGAGAAGAATTCTTGTTTTTTGATGTAAGTTATACCTGAGTTTGTGCAGTTATTTTACTTTCTCCCAAAACTGAAGCGAGTCTCTCATGATCGAGGAAATTCGAGTGAAATCTTCATTTTGTATTGAACATGTTGAATCTCAATTAACATTCATAACTATTAATCTTATTTTCTCTTAAAGTCATTTTTTTTTATACCAATAGATTTATAAAATATTATAGAGACTATATGTCTTTTAGGGTTGATGATTTCTAAATGTTCACGAATGATATAAACCAGAATCAAGCAGCACTATTTCTTGTTTTAGGTGTATAGCAAGAAAAAGCTACATATAGCTTTATTAAGCTATTCAAAAAATAACATTCACTTTAGTATCGTAATATATAACTGCTTCCCTAACATTGAAAAACAGTACCGCTAAAATGTGTATTAGGTTCCAGCCTCCCGGTTTGTAAGGTAAGTATAGGTGATTTTTCCCTTGTAAATCTTAATGAATACCTTAGTTTGATGTTGTAAATATTTATTTTATGTGATTTTTCCTTTGAATAAATTGTATGAACAGCATTCCAACACTCAAAGGCATTCTGCAGTTTTTCATCAAGGAAATTCAAATTATAAATTGTATACAATTAAAATAAATGCACAGACTCTTTTATTTTATATGCAGTTTTGAACATGAAGGCATATGGTATTTTATGTGACATTTAGAATCAAGTTGTTTTACAATACATAAAAAAAAATTAACTCTCATTCAAATATAGAACTTTGTGGTGAATTGGGGGTGAGTGTGCACGGGATGGGGGGAGGCTTCATCCTTCTATGTATATATATTATTTTTTCTTTCCTTTTTAGAGACTATGTCAAAACCAAACATCTATTTTAAACTTGTTATTTAAATATTTTGCAATCAAGATGTAGGAAGTGATTTGTAATACCCCATTCATTAATATCTGCATGTTTTGAATTTTTTGAAAGAACAAAGTTGATTTTAGAAAGAAATGCATGTGCATTGTATATTTTTGACAGTTGTCATAAGAACCTCTGAAGTAAAACAACATTAAGTTTCTCTCCAATTTTGTTTTGGTAAATTCTCACTTAGAGATGAGATGTTGACAGATGTATTTTGAAATTCATAAAGTTATTGGTGGGGGGAGGGGGTGAGTAACTTAGAAGAGATGAGATGTCATATATTTTGAAAATCATAAAGTTGTTGTAGGAGGGGGGGGGGGGGGGTAGAGCCAGAAAATTGCACATTGTACATGGGACTTTATTTGTAATTGATTCTCTTAATGAATAAACAAAAGAAATAAATATTATTTTAAGTGAACAATTACAAATGAGCAAATATAAAGTTTTTGATAATTAAATTTAAATCAACAGTCATCACATTACAGTTCAATTGAGAGATATGGGGTGAGGATCTGGTTAAAGAAAATTATTTAATTTTTTTTGTCCAGCATTTAAACAATGATCTTGCTTCTTGTAACCACTTAATTACCATATATAAATATATACATGTACTTTTAGCTTCATAGAGGATCCATTTAGCAAACTTTGCGAAGAAACCTACTTGAGGCCTTGATGAGGAGTACATTACATTAATACTGGAGGTCAGTCACAAATACTGTTAATGCATGTACATGGGGAACTTAGTAGTAAGTAAATATACCCCTCTACAGTTCATTTCAGAATACTATCTTTTTTTTTTGACCTAGTTCTTGAAATTCTAAAATGTGAGCGAAATATTGGTGTGCTTTGAAAAATTGCAAGAATTCATGTTATGAAGGTAGAAGATTATTTGAAAAATTTGCAGATCTAACTCTGCAATAAATACAGTATTTATAGAACTGGTAACATATTTGCTCAATGACAAATTGAGACAGGTAAATGCCTCAGTATTTTGAAAAAGAGAAAACATGTGCTGATGGAACAACTGAAAGGGGCCTGATTGCGATTTGAAGTGGAAGTATTAAAATGTTATTTTTCCTTTCTTTTAAGTATTGATATTGGTATTTCTAGACTAATGGTCAACCTAAATTCAAAAGTAAGTTGCAAGTTACAAGCAAGAAGCAGTGATCACAATTGTTAGTTATGTAAACAAGGCTTGGGCCTTGTTTTTGTTTTATACACAGGTCTTTTTTTTTTTGAAAATGTCATGGTTGACTCAAACTTTTTTATTAGCAAGTTATTTAAGTGTACACCATTAAACAAAAAACTCCAATGTTTGTCACATCTCATTTCATTCTAAATATGGTATTTTCAGTTTGGCATTCTATTGCCAAAGAACTGTCCAATAACACACACAAACACACCCTCCCTCCCCCCCCCTCCCCCCCCCCCCCACACACACACACACAGAGTTATAACTACTGCTCGAAACAGACATACAAAAACAAATGACATTTATTTAGACTAAAGGAATATCTTGACTTTTATCACAGCTGTAATGGCAAGACTTGGTGAAAAACTTGTTAAAGCCTTCCATCAGCAAGAGCTGTGTGATTTAGAAATTTCCTTATCAGATGGAAGTATCATGGGTGCACACAGGACAGTGCTCATATTGGGCAGCGATTGGTTTAGAACATGTTTAAATGAAAACTGGGACCCCAAGCAATCAAAAAGGACAGTTATTTGCCATGATTTCTTGCCTTCACAAACAAGATCTGTGATAGAATTTCTGTACCAACATGAGATTGATTTATCTTTTGAGAATGTTGAAGATATGTTACAGGCAGCTCAATTTTACATGGTTTCAGATTTGTCTGAGAAATGTTTAGATTTTCTTCAACAATCCATATGTTTTGATAAAGCTTTGCTTGTTTTACATATTGCACACAAATTTGGTTTGAAAAATGTTGTGCTATCATCATTGTTATACATTGACAAATTTGCCAGAGACATTTTATCAAATAGTCCTGCAAATGAAATGTTTTTTCAGTATCCTGTAGATTTGATTAATTTGCTGCTTGAACGAAATACATTATGTATTCATGAAGAGAAGTTATTTTTGTTGATAGTAAAGTGGATGAATTCAGAATGCAGAAACGTTTCAGAAACTTGGAGGAAAATTGTTCCAAATATCAGGTTTGGTAGAATGTCTGCTACTTTTTTTATTGAAAATGTTGTTTATAGAAACATAATTAGTGATGATTTTGCAATGAAAGTTATGTTGTATTTGAATTCATTGAGTGTTTGTAAGGACACAGTTGGTCCAGCTTTTCAATCTCGTGCTTGTGTGTCAGAGGAGGACATTAGGATCATTAGATTTTTTTCAAAAAGTCCAAGCAATACTTGGAAATGTGATGAATTGAATGGTGATAGACTTGTGTTTTCTGTAAATAGAAATATACAATTTCATGGCATCATTTTGTATGGAAACTACAATGTCTCACTTCTAGTTGAAGTGTCATTATCTTGTGATGAAAATATTCTCCTTAAGGAAAAAATACGTGAAGAGTTGACTGAGGAGTGTGAATTTTCATTTATTTTTGCAAACAGTGTTACTTTAGAAAAAGACAAGTTGTATACAGTTGCTGTGCACATGTCTGGATGTGATGTATATTTTGGTATAGATGGATTAACAACTGTTCAAACAATCTTTGAGGTAAATAAAACTGTCACAGTAACTTTTTCCGACAGTATTTGTAGTCTCACAAACTCAAGAAGAGGACAAATAAAAGGCATTATTTTGCATTGATAACCACAGCAAATTTGTGCATTGATATTGCATATAAACGCAAATCATATAAACCCTGTTTGTAACAGACGTAAAAAAAAATCCCTCTTCATGTATATACCGGTACCTTTGAAATATGTATTCCTCTAGTAACAGTTTTAAATGTTTATATTGTTTTATTGGGGGCAGTAATGTGGCTGCTGCATTATATTTGCATTACATTTATAGACATGTAACATTGAAAAACATTTTGTATTCATGAACAGTTTAGTGTTGTAATTGGAGTGTTTTATCGGGGGCGGTAATGTGGCCGCTCCATTTACATTACAATTATTACTTATATATCTGCAGCATTGAAATACTTTTTGTAATCATTTGGATTTTAGTATCGTTAACTGGAGTATTTTATCGGGGGTGGTAATTTGGCCGCTCCTTTTGCATAACAAGTAACTTCCATTACATTTGTTATTAAATTTATTGTAAATATCATTGTGTCTTTCATAATGCAAATTATTATTATTTCATTGCAATGGAATCATTGCTGATTGTATGTACTGTCAAACTTCGTTATCTCGAACCTGATGAGCCTGAGAACAAAATTCGAGATATCCGAGGATTCGAGATATCAAGGATGAAATACTTAAAGAACATGTGGTTAGGACTTCCACATCACTTCGACATATCCATGGTATTCGAGATATCGGAGTTCGAGATATCAAAGTTCAACTGTATATGGGTGTGTTACTTATGTATTACAAGCATACAAAATGCTTGTTGGCAAAATTAAAAAAAAATCCCAGCACTTAAAATCATTTCACTTTGTATACCTCTTTAGCAATCTTATAAGTCAAGCCCTATTCATATCCAAAGTTATGGGTGAATTATTTAAGATATCAGATATTGGGTATATATGTCTGAGTTAACAAGCGAACACAAAGAACCAATGATTTAACTTTATTCACATAATAAATAAATACAATTATTAAAAAGTTCACCGAGATATAAACTTGGTCGGTCAAATCCTGTGAAACATGAAGGTCTTCTCAGAAGATTTCTTCATATAACAACAAATTTCATATCCCGATGAAATTTTAACATTGCAGTTTATAACTTTCAAAAGTATGAACAGTGTTTTAAGTAACAATGTATCAGTCAATCAATAAGCTTGTCTGATGATCATTGTGACCTAAAAAATGTGACCTCTTAACCAGTTCAAAATTTCAAAAAGAGAGAAATGTTTTTGCTTTTTAGTAGGTTTATATTAGAAAATATATAGAACACATTTGAACAACATTTCTAAATTTTTGCATGAGAGAATGCTTAGCTTGACTGTGGTCTTGTTGTAATTGTGTTTGTGCCCTGTAATATTTGTGTGTCATTAAAAATATTATCTTAATGAATATGGTTTGTGTAGGACTTGAAATTGGTTATTATATAAATGTTGCATGTAGTTGAGTGTAACATTGAAAATTTTAACCCCAAGAAAACCATTTTCGACCGAGGCGCAGCCGAGGTTGATGGTGGTTTTCGAGGGGTGAAAATTTTTAATGTTACACTCAACTACAGGCAATATTTATTATATTATACTGAATGTTTTATACACATACATATTACATTAAACCTTGCAAGCATAAATTCTGAGCAGTCCATATTTTTTGGAATATCACCCGTTGTCAAGCAATGTTGACTTGCTGCGCTGGAGGGCGTGGCTTCATTATTCAGCGGGCAATGGTGTTTTTTAACAGATGTTTCTCGATGAATCAGATTCAACTAATTTACATGGAAGTTTAATTTTTATATATATATATATATATATATATATATATATATATATATATATATATATATATATATATATATATATATATATATATATATATATATATTCTTGAAATGCAGTTGGTTTATCAGTGTGCATCTGAATATAGATATCTGCTGCATTTGATGCAAAAACTGTCAACTGATGTACAGCTCTTTTAAAGTTTTTTTTTTTTTTTTTTTTTTTTTTCAGGATCTTCTCTCTAAGTTTCATATTAGAAATAAGAAAATATTGACAATGAATGAAGGTAACATTTTGAAACTATTGTTTTCCTTTATAATATTTCATTACCAATTAATGATTATGCCATGTTGAATTCTTAAGAGAAAAATGTGGTATTAACTATATACATGTATATAAACAACAAACAGCAATTTAAGAACTTACCAATAATTTTATGTACAATTTATTGCAGATTTAAAATCGTATATTGAGTTTTATCATAGACTTGGTTTGCCACATAAAGAAATTGCCATTTTATTGAAAACAAAACATAATCAACATTACAGGTAATTCTTTTCCCAGACTTTCTACTTTTAATATATTTTTGGACAAGTACAATTTGAAATATTTGTTGAATTTCTAAATGTAGTTATGCAAGAAATGTTTTGCATGAAGGAATTAAACCATTTTAATATAATATTGAATTGTTTCAACACTGAATTACATGCAGATCCTTTATATTTGATAAAAAAAAACCATGCCAATAAATAAATAAATTTCAGGAAATTTTGAATGGATTATAATATTGTTCATGTATTACAGTGTATTAAAATTAAAAGATCTGTTCCTGTTGGATCATTTTTATTACAGTGTTGAGTATCTAAAGAGGAAAGTTATTCCCAAGTTACACTTAAACAACAGGAGAGGATCTGCGCAACTTACAAATTTTGATGATATTTTACAATCTATACTGGTAACTTTTATGTCTTATAGCAATTTGTTAACTTTCATTATATGCATGCTAATATATGATAGTACATGGTCTGTAATTTGTAAATATTGATTATTTCGTAAACATTTACTTTGGCATGAATAATATACAGTATTTATCATAACCCCCCTCCCCCCAACAAATAAGTTTGATGCTTGAATGACGTGTATTTTTTCTTTGAATTCTTGAATTGCTTAGTAAAAGCAGGTAAAAGTTAAATCATTTTCAGTAATTTTATTTAGAAAATTTTGTGATTAGTTATGGAACTGCAATTAAATATTATTAAATTATTAAAATTTAGTCACTTCAAAGCATTATTTTACCTTTTAAAATGAAAAAAATCAATTTTTATGAAATAATTTCACAGATTTTAATTGCAGCTTGAAATGTCTCTAAAGCCAGATAGAAGTGTATCCGATGTGTTCTTTAGATTGAGATTTATTTATGGATACATTGTTAGAAGGTAATTTATATTTGTTGTTTACATACATACTAGCTGTTTTTAATCCCTAATTTGTTTTTCCACAATTTTTACTTGACATGGTGTGGATAATTGGTTTGAAACTTGATGTGTCACTACCTAATGAGAAACATATGATGAAGTTATTTACATGTATTTGGAACTTCTCATTTTCCCAATCAGGTTTATCCTTCAAATAGACATGATGCTCATGATCATTTAAAATTTATATTCAATATTGCAATTCAATGAATTCAAGGAATTTATTCTTGAGAAAACATTAAGTGAAATAATTATTTTCTTTCTAATTAAATTGGATTTTTATGTGTTCGCACAGTACGACCAGGTAATGCACATGCAGTACACATTTTCCAATTACCAGGTATACATTTAGGCATTTGTGTTATTCTTACATTATTATAATGGTTTAAATTATAGTGAAGATATTTGAAAAGACCTTTTCCTTCTTTGTCGTTTCCACAGTTCACATCAGTCCTCATATATTATATAATTTCAAAATAACTGATAGAATGTGCAAATGAAAAAAAAGGTAGTTTGCATGAAACTATGTGTAGTTTCATTCCTTAGGAACTAAGACCTTCCTCCAATAGAGAAGGAAATTTCTGTATGGTTTAATTCTCAGAATAATTCTAGATGAAAACAAATTTACAAATACATGTATTCTCATCAGAATTTTCTTGCTTGTGCAGTACTCTCAGAATGCTTGCTATTCATTAAGTTTAAGGTGCAAGTACAAACAGGATAGTGTGGATGGAGGGGATGGGGTATTATACTATCTGCATATGTTAAATAAGTTATTTAATGATAATAAATGTATCCACTTTAAAATATTTGGACTTTCAGAAAACTGGTACGAGAAATAATGACCACTTTAGACCCTAAAGGAATGTCCAGAAGGAAAGGCAATAAACTTAAAAGAAGGCAGTACCTCAGTAAAGGTTAAATTTAACTACATGTGTGTGTGTGAGAGATAGGGTGTGTGAGGGAGGGTAGGTATGTGTCTTGTGTGTGTGTTTGTGCACTTTATTATGCTTTGAACATTTTCTTTATGGTAAATGTAAGGGAGACAAGTTCTGATTTTTAGTTTTTTTAAGCATATGACTATACAACATTAAATGGAGGGGTTTTATGTAGTCGATGTGATTTCAAAGTCTTGCCATTTTGTTTTTTAGGTCCAAATTGGATATGGCATATAGGTAAATATCAAATTAGCCCAAGACAGTTTTTCTTATTTTTTTTCTCTCTTTCCCCCTCACCCAACCTATTTTCTTAAACATACATGTTGATCAAGTGCCTTAAAAGTAAACATTAAGGATATTTCGTGTTTGGCTGTATTGAAGATGGAGGATTGTAATTTTTGATCTCTGGATGCATGATTGATGGTCATTGTAAATTAATTATATTAGTTGGCTGGATTGCACAGTGTACATGATGAAAGCCCTCTGAGACAAAGATGGTCTAAGATGATACTTTTGTCAATTAACAATGGTATACTGAAACATATGCTCATCCTTAATTATAGATGAAAATGATTGATATATATGCAGGTAGATGCTACTTATTTTTAAGGGTAAAAAGATAAATATTTCCATTTCTATTTGTTTTCTCTGTGATAACTCTGAAAGTTAGGAGAGTTGATTTCTTGATGATTCCACCGGAATGCAAATTTCACCAAGCGAAAGGTCAGGAGGTAAGAAGGCCTAATATGCATGTAATTCTCGTGCGACTGTCTTTGTGTTTGACGTTAGTGGGCGGGGACTATTGAAATTGACATGTGAGGCCTCGTGTAATTCAAATCTATTAGTCTACACTTTTAAAATCTAAATTCACAATCTTATTTCACTGTGAAATGGAAATATAAGGAATCACTGTCTAGTTAGTAGAGTATGCCAGGGACATCAACGATAGTGGGAAACGTGGGATAATTTATGCATAACGGGCTTCGCCCATTATGCAAATTATCCCACGTTTCCCACTATCGTTGATGCCCTGGCATACTCTACTAACTAGACAGTGATTCCTTAAATATCTTGTATCCTTAAGCAAGCAGGCACATAACATTGTTTGTTATGGTGGAGAGGCCAGACAAGAAGTGGCCAATTGGCTTGCTAATTTATCTTTCTATATATAAAGATAAAAGAACTTTAAAAAAAGAAAACTGCAGTGGCAACCTGTAGCCTGTGATCTATGTTAAACAGTATTTCAAGAAATATTAATGTGGGATAAATCTTCTTTTTCTAGACCAGTATGATAAGTTGAGTCCATACGGAATACACATCAGTGGCTGTATTGATGGGTAAACTGTTTTTTTTTTAAAGACTTTTGTTTTAGGAAAACATTTATGAAACACTATGAATCTTGTATACAACAAGTGATTGTAATTTTCTCAGATTAACTTTTGAACCACTTCAGGATTTTTAGATAAATGTTCATTAATTTCCTTTTCTTATTAGGTTTTCTCGCTACGTGCTTTGGTGCGAAGCAGGAATCAGTAATAAAAACCCAAAGAAAATTGCAGCATATTTTATAAACACATTAGAACAAGTTAATGGTAATGCTTTAATGTTCTCCTAAAAAAAATGGAATGTAATTGTAAGTGCTAATGGAATTTCTTTCAAAAGTTTATAAGTAAAAGCAGATAAATACTCATTTGTGTTTCATATTGTTATGATAAAGATGACCTTTCCAATTTTATTGAAATGTTTGATGATTTTTAAAACAAAATGATCATTTACCTCTTTTTTTCAGGATATCCACATATTGTAAGGGGTGATGCAGGTTAGTTTTATTTCTTTTATATATTTAGATTTCTTATTTAATAAATATTGCCTTCTGCTGTTTTAAACTTTGCAGCACAAACATTTGGTTAATTTTGTTTCATGCTTTTGTGCAACAAACTGTCTTGATTAAGTGTAGTGCTAAGGTTTGTCCCAGGTTGTCAAAACTGACACTCTCCTGATAAACCTACATTGTGAGGGTCAAAACCGTGCTATCAATTCAATAATAAATTCAATATAACATAACCAGTGAAAATCATTTTTATGCATTGTTTCCTTAATTGTGCTTCCTTTTCTGCTGCAATGTGTTCAAGTGCTATTACAGTACTTTGTTTTTTCAACCTCCACTTCTGTTTGGGGATCCTCTGTGTTTTCTCTGAAAATGTATCACTTAATTAAAAAAAAGGAATGAATTGAATTTTAGTATCATGTATATATATATACTGAACCAACATAATGATATACACATTTTATTATATATTTACCATGTGTAAAGGTACCTTAATTTGGAAAATTGAATTCTCACATATAATCATAGCCTCCAAACAAAATAAAGTATGATGTATGCAAGGTTTGTATTCAGCAGAGAGGAACACAGTTTAAGGCATTGAAACCCAAACGAGTCGCTTTCAGAAACGCAACTTAGGCCTGTATGAATATTCACTTACCTGAGTCAGAATAAATTAAGCCAAAGTCTACACCATTTTGTGAAAGGGTCCCTGACACAGCAGCCTTTTATTTAAGATAAATGTGAAATAATTCCTTAAAAAAATGATACTTTACTTTTTATTAAAAAGGAACAGAGAATGGGACTGTAGCAGCCATCCAGAACTTCTTAAGAGAAGATGATGAAGATTCTTTCTGCAAAAAAGCCTTTATTTATGGCAAATCAACACATAATCAGGTTTATAGATTTTTCTTTCAAAATATACCCATGTCTTTCTTGCATTTTTAGGTCATCTGATTCACTTAGGTGACCTATTGCCATTGGTCTTTGTCTGTTGTCCATTATCAATTTTTACATGCTGAACTTATCCTCTGTAATTATTGAGCCAATCTCCACTAGAGTTGGTGGGTAACATCTATAGAGGAAAAGGAATATAAGTTCTGGAATTCATTATCTCCAACCCCAATGGAGCTGAGATTTTGGATAAAAAGTTGTAGAAATTGATGCATGATTTTAAATCTTCTTCTCTACTCCATGGCATCTAGCAGAGAAACTACTACATTGTTATGATGAACAAGGAGGCCTCTAATTAAAGTCTGAAATTTTGGCCCCAGGAATGGGGGTTTGTGTGTTTGGGTGGGGCACATTGGTCATATAGTGAATATAAAAATTATTATATTCTTCTCCACTTCTTGGTATCTATTGGGCAAATTAAGTACATGGATAGGATAAGGAAGGGAGTCTCTATCAAAGTGGTGAAATTTATTGCCCCAGAGTCAGGGGTTCTGGTGTTAGGGTCATATACTAGTAGTGAATGTGCATTAACTATTTGTAAATCTTTACTATTTGCCACATACCATCCAATCTGAGTGTATGTTTAGAATGATCATGGAAGCATCTACCAAAAATATTTATAGTTACGGTCCTACAGTCAAAGATTCTGGCTATAGGGTGGAAATGAAATGAAGCTGCATTTATAATCCTCTCTACTACTAGGCACCCAGCAGGGAAACTAAGTGACTGTATGGGTAGGAGAAGCAAGGAAAAATGTAAAAGTTATGATGCAGGGTCAGAGGTTATTTAAAATTAAATACAATTATCCTAAAGTTTGTCATGAAAGGAATGTGCAAAGGAAGGCAGCAAGTTTTTCATTAATAGTCTGTCTGAGTTCATAGATTTAGTTTTTGTTTATTGAGTCTGTATCACAGTAAACATTATTCTCTCTGTGTGTCAGGAGCGTTCTGGGCCAAATTTTCTGATTCAAGTATTAAGGTTTGGTTTTATTTTTCATAAATGGTTTCAATTTTTTGTTTTCCTTTTTAAGGTAGAATACTTTTAAATATTGTTTTACTCATATGTACAGACAGTTTAAGTTTTGTAATTGTGAGACACAAAAGATGAATTTGCATGCTGTAAAATATTTAAATATTGATAATTACTGAGTTTGATCTTGAAAATATTGTCCTTTTGAAAAAAAATAAAATGGATGTGGACTTATAATGAAGTTTATCAGTATGACTCTTTAATTATCTTTAATTTTTAACTTTAATTTTCAATTTTTATTTTTTAAGAGGATTGAGAGATGGTGGGGAATTTTACGAGGGAAATGTACAGATCGATGGATACATCATTTTAAGGTTAAATATGAGATTTCTATTATTTTATGTAAGAAATCCGATGTTGTTTTCTTTTTGTTTTTTTTTTTTGTTTTCCATTTTTTTTCTTTAAAAATTTGTTATTGTTTTCAGGAATTGGAAAAGGATGGCCATTTTACAATCGGGGAAAAACTGCATATGTAAGTTTGCTTTTGACATAGAAGAAAAACAACAACAATGTAGGCTGGCTGTTCATCCATGAATGTTTCCATTAACTGGATATTTTACAATTCTCTCCCTTTTTTCCAAAGAAATCCAACTGTTTTCATATGAAAATGTTTAAATATTGCATGTCAGTGGGGGTAACATTGAAATTTGTGTACATTAGAAATCATTGACCTTCAACGGTAACCCTTGATTGCTTGCAATAATGGAATGTGTATAATATTCAGGCTGTTACAAACTGCAACATTATTCAAGGCATTGTACACTTGTATCTTACCAATTCAGTTAATTGTATGTGTATTTAGATTGTCAAATTCCTTATTCTAAATACTAGCCATTTTGACCAAAGAGAATACCTGTGGTGAACAGTACATACATATACTGTACATGTATTTTGCCATGTCAAAATTTATTTGTGAATATCCTCTGTTGTTATGTGGTTTTGCCCAATTACTATGTTAATCTATAACCCTAGAAGGTGTGGTTTCATCATTAAAGAAAATTCGTGATCTTTTATTGAATGTTTCTTAACCAGTGCATTTAGTTTTGAAGCCCCAAAAACTAATGTAACCATGTTTTATTTCAGAACATTAGTTCAATATTGTTACATGCAAATTATCAGGAAAGAATTGGAGGAGGTGAAATTGGCATGGAATTACCATAGAATCAGGAAGCAAAAAACAGGCGATGTTGTTCCTGGGATTCCAGAACTCCTTTATCATGTTCCAGAAATGTTAGGTCAGTTAATTTCATGTATGTAATTTTTTAGAATACATAAGAATTGCACAATACAGTTTGGGAAAAGTGCATTGACAGAGGAGAACAACAACAAAGATCACACCCACCCTCTCTCTCTCTCTCTCTCACACACACAGAGTGTGGGAAAGGGCGCCAATTTTAGACACAAAATTTCATACGCGGATAATAGAGGCATTGATTTTTAGGCTGTCACTCAAACACTGCATTATGATTTATATTATGATTATGCATTTATGACTTCTACTGAGAAGTTCTGTGTGCAGTGATTTACTCATTTAATTCTTCTGTATAAACATCCAGTCTCATTTAAAACTATGTAAATTAATGTTGATAATTGACATGAAATAATGAAAATAATTTAATATAATTTTGGGGTTTTCCCATTAAAACTAAATTAATTTTCAAGTGTATAAAGTGGAAATAATTGTTGAGATTGTTGTACCATGCTTTTGATGAGGGTTTCAAAATAGAGTGTCAACATTCTTTCTCTCCAGTAGTTTCTCTCTGGTATTTTATTGAATGGGTTTATTTCCACTGCTGATGAGGTATTAAAATAATACTTTCACATGGAGTTCAGTTGAAATTGGTATGGTATGGTATGAAATGTATTTTATATGGAAAAACATGTTGTTATTTAATAATTATGTCATTTTATTTCAGGCAATCCACAGTGCCGAAATTACATTCATCAAATCAATGTTAACGATGAAAAGTTTCAGTTCCTTAAGGACCAATGCTGCTTTGAAAATGACCTGGATAAAGACACTAAGGAAGCTCTTGATGTCATTTGTGACAATTACCATCCTTCAACAGAACTAGAAGCAAAAACAATGTATATAACACTCAAAGATATACTGGAACAATACATTTATCAATAGGTTGTAATGAATTCTTGATCTGATTTATAAATACGTAATATATTCCTATAATTCTCTTCCTTTTTTGTATGTTTTCACCAGCACTGTAACATACACTTTTTTTATATTAGTCTTTTACATGCGTTATTATATGGTACTGGCTTTTCTGTCCATCAGCCTGTTCATCTGCCTTTATAATCACTCTAAGCTTTTGCTTATCAGAATAGGTTCTTGTTTCATTAAAGTAGACCGTGAGAAAAAAATCGAGTGCAGACTTGCTCAATAAAATAAATGGCATTTAGTTTTTCAAAATTACACTATTTAAAATTTTGGTATGCTTTGGAATTAATTAGATGTTGGAAATTGACATTTCACAGACAACAGATTTATGGTAGTAATATTAGCTATGTTGGTAATTCTATGTTTATAATCCACTCTACAAGTTGCAGGGGTATAATGTTCTAATGTGACAACCCCTCTTTTTTTTTGGTCATTGCAACTCTGAAACCATTGAAAGAAATTCCATGAGTTTTTTTTTTAGTTATTAAAGACATGAAGTGGAGATGAGCATATATACAGGAAAATCTGGTTCCATTTTTTTTTTTCTGGGAATTTTGGCCATTTTTGAACTTTTTAGCTCACCTGAACTGAAAGCTAAAGTGAGCTTTTCTGGTCTCCTGTTGTCCGTCTGTAAACTTTTCACATTTTCAACTTCTTCTCGAGAACCACTATGCCAATTTTAACCAAAGTTGGTACAAAGCATCTTTGGGTAAAGGGGATTTAAATTTTTAAAATAAGGGCCAAGCCCCCTTACAAAGGGAGTTAATCAAAAAAAGAGAAAAATAGAGTGGGGTCATTGAAATTTTTTTTTTCTCAAGAACCACTGGGCCAGAAAAGCTGAAACGTATGTGAACCCATTCTGGGGTAGTGTAGATTTTAAATTGTTCAAATCATGCCCCCCCCCCCCCCCCCCCAAGGGAGGGTGGGGCCACAGTAGGAAATCAAAATTTTACATTGAAATTTATAGGAAAAATCTCTAAACATCTTCTCAAGAACCACTGGGCCAGAAAAGCTGAAATTCACATACAAGGATCCTGGGGTAGTGTAGACTCTAAATTGTTCAGATCATGACCCCCGGGCAGGGTGGTGCCACAATAGGAAATCCCAAGTTTGCATTAAAATATATGGAAAGAAATATATAGGAAAAAACTTTAAAAATCTTCTTCTCAAGAACCTCTTGGCCAGAAAAGCTGAAATTTATGTGGAAGCATCCTTGGGTAGTGTAGATTCTATATTTTTCAAATCATGACTCCCCTCCCCTAGGGTAGGATGGGGCCACAATAGGTATTACATGGAGGAAAATCTGTTGAAGAACAGTAGGGCCAAAGTTACTCAGGTGAGCATTGTGGCCCATGGGCCTCTTGTTTGACGTTAATACTGCGAAAACAGTTTGTCATCACGACTGATTAGAATTACATGAACCTTACTAGTTAGTAAGGACAATTTCGAGCAGTGCAGATTTGGTTTTCTTAGGGTTTGCCTCTTTTATTTACTAGTGTATTCAATGCATACAACATGCCATTCAAAATGTGTAGCAGTCAAGGGTATGTTGGAGTATAGAGTATGTGAGCTTGCTTGTACATGCCCTATTCGCCCTTCTTTCTTTTGGTTTTTAATCATATACCAAGTACATAAATAATGAACAACTTTAACAAGATAACATTTCTTTAAAATTTACCAATCTTGATTATAAGAAGCCTTATGCAAATGATTTTTTTTTTCAAAATTTAACCAGGACTATTGAGGGAATAGTAAATTTTAAAAACATGTTCTCTGCTAATATTTTATAAAGGACAGTGTGTATTATAGATGCTTATCGATATGTATTTGTGCATTCTATAATTTGTTGCCACTGTTTCTTAACTTTGGAAGTTTTAATCATGAAATAGTCCACAGTTTTTAAGCTCACCTGAGCCAAATTAAAGCTCAAGTGAGCTTTTCTGATCGAAATTTTTCCATTGTCATCGGCGTCATTGTTGCAAACTTTTCACATTTTCATCTTCTCAAGAACCACTGGGCCAATTTCATCCAAACTTGCCACAAAGTATCCCTGGGTAAAGCGAATTCAAGTTTGTTCAAATAAAGGGCCTTGCCTTCTTCCAAAAGGAGATAATTAAAAATTTTTGAAAAATTAATGGCATCATTTAAAAACCTTCTCAAGAACCACTGTGCTTGACAAATATGAAACTTTTGTGGAATCATTGTGAGGTAGTGTAAATTCAAATTTGTTCAAATCATGACCCCCGAGGGTAGGGTGGGGCCACAATAGGGGAATAAAAGTTCCACATAGGAATACATAGGAAAAAATCTTTTAAAAATTCTCCTTGAGAACAGCATAAAAGTGATTGGTCAGATTTATACTTACTAATACTGAACTGATTAATTTTCTGCTTTTTCCTTGCCAGAGTGCTCAAGTGAGCGATGTGGCCCCTGGGCCTCTTGTATTATGTAGTAGTGTCATCATTTATCTATTCTTTAGAATTTCTTATTACGAATGTGCAAATGGATATGAATAAGTATGTTGAATGAAAAACATTGGCCACTGTAGTTCTCGTTCCTGGAGCACTGGTTTAGCATTTTGGAAACCTTGGCACTGACTTTAAAATGATAATTTCAACTCCTTTTATGTCATGAATTCAGAAGACCAATTCAAAAATGAAAAACAAATATTCACATGTGAAAGGCAAATAAATTAAACCTTTAATTTTTAGGTCACCTGAGTCACTCAGGTGACTTATTGCTATCTGTTTTTGTCCGTCGTGCGTTAACATTTAAACATTTTCTTCTCTGAAACTGCTCAACCAATTTTGGCATATAGCATATATGGGTGAAGGGGGACAAAAATTGTGAATTTCATGGTCCCTGCCCCCTGGGGCCTTAGGGGTGGGGCTAAAACCACCAAAATTGATGCAATCTTTAAAAACCTTCTTTACTCCTGGACATCAAGCAGTCAAACTGTTGGCATGATTGTGATATGAGCCCTCTATCAAAATTGTGAGATTCATAGCCCCAGGGTTAGGGGTTCTGGTGCTAGGGCGGGGCTATATAGATCATATAGTGAAAATGCATTATTTCTTTGAAAATCTTCTCTGCTCCTGGGTATGAAATAAACTAACTAAGTACATAGTTATGTTTAGAAAGACTGCCTCTTCTAAAATTGTGAATTTCATGGCCCCTGGGTCCGGGGTTCTGGCGTTAGGGCGGGGCTCTATTGATTATATAGTGAAAATGCATTAAATCTTTGAAAATCTTCTTCTCTGCTCCTGGGTATTAAATAAATTAACTAAGTATATAGCTATGATGAGCATAACTGCCTCTTTCAAAATTATGAAATTCATGGCCCCTGGGCCAAGGGTTCTGGTGATTATGTAGTAAAAATTCATAATTTCTTTCAAAATATTTTTTTCGACTCCTGGCTATAAAGCAAAAAACAAGTGTATAGTTATGATGAGCAAGGATGCTTTTACAAAATTTTTAAAACTTGTGGTTCCAGGGGTTCTGTTGTTTCTCGGGGGGAGGGGGAGGGGGGGGGGGCTCTATTTGATTTTATAGTGAAAATGTGTGAATTCTTTGAAAATTTTCATGGTAATAGTGATAAAAGGGGGACAGATAGAAAGATACTAGATCAATTATTTTGTTGATCTTAATCGTACTATTTTTCTTGCTATGGGGCAACAAAGCTTCATTTATCAGTTTATGGATTCTCTAAATTATTGTACTTGGGTGACCGTTAAGGCCCTTGGGCCTCTTGTTTGTTATACTTTCTTTGAGAAAAATGTATTTATATAATTGGAAACTTTGGGTTAAACCTGTAAAAATTGATGCAATTTCAAAAATCTCTACTTATGGACATTCAGCATACAAAACAAGCACATAGTTATGATGAGCAGGGGTGCCTCTACTAAAATTGTGATATTTATTGCCCCAGCTTCTTCTCTACTACTGGACAATTAACAGACAAACCAAGCAGATTGTTGTGGTGAACAGGGATGTCTCAACCAAAATTGTGAAATTCTTGGCCCCTGAGTTCTGCTTTTAGGGCGTGCCTTTAATGAATGTATAGGAAACTCTATCTTTTTTTGCTATTTGGCTTCTAGCAGTCATACTGAGTGTATGGTTAGGATAATCAAGGAAAATTGTGATATTCATGACCCTGGGTCAGAGCTTTTGGCATTAAACACAGGTATACCTGCTCCAAAAAACTTTAACCTCATCCAACATCTGACACCTTTGGCTTAGATTCAGCATCCGAATATGTCAATTCTTAAAGGTGCTTAGACACAGATTTGAAGTTAATATTTTCTCAAATTTTCTGTATAATATCACGACATATATATTGCAATAGCATTTCACACGAAAATTAAAAACTTCTTTTATCTGGAAATTATTGGAACTATGAATTCCTGGACGCGTTTGATTAACACATCATTGCACTTTCACAAATTTTATCTTTATCCTTAATATTTAAGAAAAGAAGCTATTTTTGTGTATTAATGAAAAACATTACATCTATAATCCAGAAAATTCAGAGTAGAAATATGGGAAAGCAAACCCCCTCACTAATATCGTCAGCCCGTGCTCAGTGTTGTGTACAGAGTTTAACAAATTGAATACACCCGTGAAACGTAAACTGTTTTTGTAAACAGGGCACGAGCTCTGTTATTCTTAATGTTTACGATTCACCGGGTGTGTTCAATTGTTAAAGTCTGCACACACCACTGAGCACAGACTGACAATACTGTGAGTGGGTTTTGCTTTCGAACATTTCTACTCTGAATTTTTCTGGGTTATAGTTTTAATATTTTTCATTAATACACAACAAAATTGCCACTTTTCTTAAGTATTAAGACTAAAACTCAATTTGTGAAAGTGCAAGGATGTGTCAATCAAACGCGTCCAGAAATTTGAAGTTTCAATAACTTCGAGATGAAATAATATTTTTATTATATTTTAGTATGAAATGCTCTAGCAACATACAAGCCATGAAATTATGCAGAAAATTTGAGAAAATATTAACTTCAAATCTGTGTCCAAGCACCTTTAAGTATCACAAGATACATCAACTGTCCAAGTTTAGCAGAAATTCTATCAGTAATAAGTTAATAACTATGATATGGCCATCACAGGATGTCTGCTCCAAGAAATTTAACCTATTCCAAAAACGTTTACTTCATCCAGCATCTGAGATTCAGCATCCAAGTATATTTAGTGCATAAGTATACCCAGATGCACAATCCTTGCAAGTTTGGTGAAGTTCAGACCTGTAATAAAATACATATGGGACCTGCTCCCAAAAATTTAACAGACACTTTCTCTCAGTAAATTAAAAATTGTGATGCAAATATTTCAAACTCCTTAAAAAACTACTCTTTGGGATTCTTTACAGTTTTCATGTAAAGAATGATAGTTTGCCATATGCCATCTCACTTACAAGATTGAAAATGAAGTAAACATGATTTTGTTGTACATGGAACCAGTAAGCATGTTCAAGGTAACAGTGTTGTACTGTAGTCCTTTTGACCATGAGGAGCAACCATGTTATGGTAAAGATGCTGGATGCAGAAATTAATACCACAAAGCAGCTTTTACTTGCAGAGTAAGAGACCAAATAAAGTGGACAAGTCATATTATCATCACTTTCAAAGTCATGTTTGTTCATAAAGGAATTTATTGAATCAAATTGTTTATTGTGATAAAATTGGAGCTGTGACATTACTACCTCCAATAATACTCTCAGTTACAATGCTAAAAAACTAAGGATTACAAAAAGTATTTCAGTATTACATATACTAGTATATAAATGTAGTGTAATTGGAGCGGCCACATTACCGCCCCCGATAAAAAAACTCCAGTTGCAATACTAAAAAACTTACGATTACAAAAAGTATTTCAGTATTACATATACTAGTAAATAAATGTAGTGTAATTGGAGCAGCCACATTACCGCCCCGATAAAGCTCTCCAGTTACAATACTGAAAACTAATGAATACAAAAAGTATTTCAGTATTACATATATATAAATGTAGTGTAATTGGAGCGGCCACATTACCGCCCCCGATAAAACTCCAGTTACAATACTAAAAAAACTAACGAATACAAAAAGTATTTCAGTATTACATATATATAAATGTTTTACATATATATAAATGTAGTGTAATTGGAGTGGCCACATTACCACCCCCGATAAAACTCCAGTTACAATACTAAAAAAACTAACGAATACAAAAAGTATTTCAGTATTTCATATTATATAAATGTAGTGTAATTGGAGCGGCCACATTACCGCCCCCGATAAAACTCCAGTTACAATACTAAAAAAACTAACAAATACAAAAAGTATTTCAGTATTACATATATATAAATGTTTTACATATATATAAATGTAGTGTAATTGGAGTGGCCACATTACCATCCCCGATAAAACTCCAGTTACAATACTAAAAAAACTAACGAATACAAAAAGTATTTCAGTATTACATATATATAAATGTTTTACATATATATAAATGTAGTGTAATTGGAGTGGCCACATTACCGCCCCCGAAAAAAATCCAGTTACAATACTAAAAAAACTCACGAATACAAAAAGTATTTCAGTATTACATATATATAAATGTAGTGTAATTGGAGTGGCCACATTACCGCCCCCGATAAAACTCCAGTTACAATACTAAAAAAACTAACGAATACAAAAAGTATTTCAGTATTACATATATATAAATGTTTTACATATATATAAATGTAGTGTAATTGGAGTGGCCACATTACCGCCCCCGAAAAAAATCCAGTTACAATACTAAAAAAACTCACGAATACAAAAAGTATTTCAGTATTACATATATATAAATGTAGTGTAATTGGAGCGGCCACATTACCACCCCCGATAAAACTCCAGTTACAATACTAAAAAAACTAACAAATACAAAAAGTATTTCAGTATTTCATATTATATAAATGTAGTGTAATTGGAGTGGCCACATTACCGCCCCCGATAAAACTCCAGTTACAATACTAAAAAAACTAACGAATACAAAAAGTATTTCAGTATTACATATATATAAATGTTTTACATATATATAAATGTAGTGTAATTGGAGTGGCCACATTACCGCCCCCGAAAAAAATCCAGTTACAATACTAAAAAAACTCACGAATACAAAAAGTATTTCAGTATTACATATATATAAATGTAGTGTAATTGGAGCGGCCACATTACCACCCCCGATAAAACTCCAGTTACAATACTAAAAAAACTAACAAATACAAAAAGTATTTCAGTATTTCATATTATATAAATGTAGTGTAATTGGAGTGGCCACATTACCGCCCCCGAAAAAAACTCCAGTTACAATACTAAAAAACTAATGATTACAAAAGTAAAGCAAAGAAGGCCGCCACAAAATTCCTGAAAGCTGCTGACTGGCTAAATCAGGACATCCCCAAGACCAGTAAAGGTATCATTTACAGCAAAACACTGAAAAGGTGAAAATAATTTTTTCTCAATGTATTTCTTTCGACATATTTCAGTATTCATTTTTTTATGCCATTAAATTTTTGCCTACTCAGAAATAATTCTTGGTGGTTTTGGAGTGAATTTAGCTAATTGAATGAATCTAATTCTAACTACAGTTAACTGCTTAATACAGAGACTGACTTTATGACATCCATGCAATTACAATTCTTTGCATCTTCAGAGATGGTACATGAAATACCTACCCCTTCACGAAGGTATAAGACATCCGGCAACTCCTCTACCTTAACTTTATAGCTGTTGCCCAATTCATATATATGGGGGCATCCTTTGTTCTGGCAACTGGTTGGGGATGAGCACTCTAAATGGAACACCGGGGGAAGAATTTCTGGATCCATTTGTTGTATAATCCAGCTATATACACTCTAAGAAATAATAATGACATAATTAGGTGTTTATAACTTGTATTTATTCATGTGCTTAATTTAATAAAAATTAAATACCAAAGTACAAGAAATCATGCAAGTTATTGAATTTTAATTCAAATCAGCACATGAAATGCTGGCACACAGGGTATATGATTTATACTTGGAGCAATTTAAGTAACACATAAAATTAGGTTCTTCAGTACCTGCACATATACCTAATTTAATGTATATGAAAATAAAAATTATGTTTACAATACATGCATCTTGTATGGTAGCTACATGTATTGCATACAATTTACTTTAAATTTGTTACTCTTAAGTGTTTAACAAAGTTGTATCTCCTTGATACACTCCTCCTCTAATTAACATACCTTGACTGTGTCACCATATTTAAACGGTCGATTTATCGCAAGACCTCCATGACATTCGTAAACAACACACAGATTTTTTCTGACATCCTCTTTCGTCGGGAAGTCGATGAAGGTGCTCTCTGCAAACTTGAAAAAATAAACTCATGTTTATTTCAAATATGTATATTTCATTTTAAGCTAGATAAACAAAACTAATAAAAATAATTTTGTCCAGAACAGTAATTCTACAGCATGTATAGTTGCAAAATCGTTTTATATTTGAAATATTTTTTGTTTTAGTTATTTCATTTAGTGCCTTATGTAAAATTGTTAAGTAGGATGATAGTACAAATTGTGAGCGACCAATATACATGTATTTATTATGTAATTGACCTCGATAAGAGCATTGCTCTTGATGAGCAACCTAATGTATATATAAAGGGGTAGAGAACGTGTGTTGCAGGGAGTTATTTTTTTAGTAAACAAGAGTCAGTGCTGTTCAAGGATATTATATATATATATATATATATATATATATATATATATATATATATATATATATATATATATATATATATATATATCATGTAAGAAATTCTAAATGGAATTAAACAGTTTTTATTTAAAGAACAGTTTCCGACAAACAAAGAATACAAAGATTAAATCTGTCATATGTAAAATGTTGTGTGCCATTTACACAAAATACAATAAAAGCATTTCAGAAATTCTTCAATTTTCTAAACATATAAGGGGATTCACCTTGATATCTCACACAAGCTTCTTTCGTGTAGCATGTTAGTAACTTGTACTGTAGATTCCCATTTCATGGTGGGGAATTATTATCAACATAAAAATGCCACAAGTACCCCTCATAGATCTTAAAATCTTGGGATTATTTTGATTAGTTTTCTGCTATCTGTAAACTATATGAAATTACATGTTCACATATAACAAAACTTTGGTGCTCACAATTTTATGTTCTCATGATTTGAAACAAATTTAAATGGCAGAATCATGAAATTGAGTACTCTTGTAATGTGAGGAACCTACAGTATTATTTATATGAACTTTAGTATTAATTTAAATCATGCCTTCACAAGTATGCATGTTCCTCTCTGTCTAAAATATGATATCATAAAGTATCTTATTGTGTGCATAAATGCATGGAAACTGTGTTAATAACAAGAATTACTTTACATTTTTAATTCCCTCCACGTTGATAGACACATACGCAATACAAAACTTAAACAACTATGCTTACCAACTGCCTTTCTCTTTTTTTCTGCATCATCTGTAAGAATTAAGGATAAAATCCAATTGAAGCAGTTTTTACTACAAGAAAACATTCTCCACAAGGCTCTCATAAATGTCCATGCATGCAAGCTTACACAGCATTCATATGGTTGAGTAAAAATGGAATTTTGGTAATCTAATTTCTATCAACACAATGATGAGGGAAGGAATGAAAAGAGTACCTAATTCCAAAACAGACAAGCTAATTCAGATAATCTGTGTCCCAGCTTAATGAAACAAGATACCCATGGGACACATCGCTCACCTAAGGACATTGGGTTAGGCAAAAGCACAAATCAGTCCAGTATTGAAAAGATTAGAGGGGGGGGGGCTTGAATTTTAAACTACCTGATGATGCTTCCATGTCAATATAACAAATGGCTTTGTTGTACTTGAGAAGATTTTAAAAAAAGAATTCCCATATATTCCTTTGTAAAAATTTGATCCCCCATTGTGGCTCCTTCCTATGCCAGGGGTCATCATTTGAACTTGAATCTACACTACCTGAGGATGCTTCAATATCAATATGACTAAACATAGCTTTTCTGTTCTTGAGAAAAAAAAGATATTCTTATATTTTCCTATGTAAGACTTTGATCTCTCATTGTGGCCCCACCCTACCCCCGGGAATCGTGGTTTGAATAAGATAAAATCTACACTACCTGAGGATGCTTCCATATAAATATGACCAATCATGGCTTTGCTTTTCTTGAGAAGAAGATTTTTAAAGACTTTTTTCCTATATATTTCTATGTAAAATATTTTTTTCCTATATATTTTCTATGTAAAACTTTGATCGTCCATTGTGGCCCCGCCCTACCACCGGAGGTCATAATTTGTACAAAATTGAATCTTCACTACCTGAGGATGTTTCCACAGGAGTTTCAACTTTCCTGGCCATGTGATTCTTGAAAAAAGGATTTTTAAAAAATGGTATTAATTTTTCAATAAATCTTAATTATGTCCCCTTGGAAGGGGGCGTGGCCCTTCATTTGAACAAACTTGAACCCCTTAACCCAAGGATGCTCTGTGGCAAGTTGGTTGAAACTGGCTCAGTGGTTCTGGAGAAGAAGTCGAAAATGCAAGTAGTTTAGAGACAGACGGACTACAGACAAAATGTGATCAGAAAAGCTCACTTGTGCTTTCAAGCTCAGGTGAGCTAAAGAGAAGAGCATGAGTGGATTGGGAGAGGGGGGGACACTTTAAAAAGGGCCAGGGCCAAAGGGAGTTATGGTATAAATTTCATTGCAAAAGCTTCTTGAGATATCGCCCAGAAATGAAAGTTTTACACACACACAGAATGTATGAAATTACGGCATTGACTTAATTTGACCTTAAAATAAATAGGGGTTTTCCTTAGTCCATAGGGATTTGTGGTATAAAATTTCACTGCAAAAGAAAGCTCAAAGGCTTCTTGAGATTTCATGCGAAAACAAAAGTGTTAAAACAGAGAGAATTAATGAATTTATGACTTGATTTTTTCCCTTTTGACCTAAAAATACAGGTCCATAGAAAGCAATTTTAGTTTGGGGGGGGGGGCACTATCAACTACCAAAGATTCCTTGACGAGCAAAAAACATAGGTAATCAAAGATTACGAAGCTCACCTCAACGAATGTTATCAGTAAAAGTTATGCAAATCTCACATCATATTTTCTTTATAGTTAGTGTGCATCCTGAAAACAATATTCATGCAAGTTCTGTGTAAGAAGGTCTTATAGTTCGTTGGGAATTGACCTGTTCCAAAAACTTTAAGCTTTTCACAAATCAAGAAAATGTCAGACTTTCATTTCCTACATCTGAAGCAAGTCTGGAATGCACCATCTATGTAAGTTAAATCATAACAGCCTATATAATTATAGAGCTACTCCAAACACATTGTCATGGTTACTCATTTGGAAAATGTAGGTCAGATCCAGCATCTGAAGCAAGTCTGGTAGTGCCCATCCCTAGATACATCAACCATGCAAGTTGGTCCAGGTATGGCTTATAGTTACTTGGGAATGAACCTGCTCCAAAAACTTTAACCTGGTCACCCATCTGGAAAATGTAGATCAGATCCAGCATCCGAAGCAAGTGTGACAGTGTCCATCCCTAGATGCATCATCCATGCAAGTTTGGTCCAGGTAGGGCTTATAGTTACTTGGGAATAGACTTGCTTCTAAAACTTTAACCGGGACGCCGATGCTAACGCCGACACCGGGGGTATAACATAAGCTCATCTCGACTTCGTCGAGGTGAGCTAAAAAAAAGGCGGGGCATCAGATGTTATTATTGAGGGGGCACAGGCATATAGTAGCCATGTTCTCTATAGTATTCTACAAGTGGCAAATTTAAATGGGGGGGGGGGGCACCCCCTCTTTCCTACGGTCATGAAATAAATAGGGATCTCTCTTAGGCCTTAGGGAGTTGTTGTGTATTATTTCACTGCAAAAGGTCAAAAGCTTTTCCTGTTATCGCTCTGAAACAAGTGTTGCAGACAGACAGAAATACATACAGAAGAACAGACAGACCAAAATTAAAATTCCCCACTTTCAGTTAAAGCAGTGGACAAAAATAAAGTAATCTATATTTTTAAGATGTCTAAATATCATTCAGCATTGTGAACTGACTTAATTCAATATTTCAAAGTCTGACAAACAACAAGTTTTCATCATTACATGAACCCCCTTTCAGTAAAAAAAATTCTTATAATGAATGTTGATTCAAATATTATAAAGTATTTTTTACACCAAAAACATCCTTTTCTTGTTTATTACTAAAAAGAAGCATTTTGTTTACCAATAATATAGAGCACTTTTAAGTGTAATTATCAATGTAACAAAATAACAAATAACAAAAACTATTGAGACTCTTCTTCCCCCTCCCCCTTCCATTCTTTAACTACATGTATATCTAGAGTTCAACCTCAGGCAGGGGCAGAAGTGGAGCTCTATCACTGCATTTTTCTTTGTGGTTTGTGTGTTTGTCTGTGGACACACACACAGTCCCACAAACATAGAGAGAGAGAAATAATAACTGATACTTACTTCCTCAAAGTCTTTCAGGATATTGTCTTCATCCACCTGTATATATGAATAAACATTAATGTATACAAGAAATACCCACAAGAAATCATAAATTTTTAGATAAGCAAATAAATATTAGAAAAAACAAGATGATCCCGGCCCTTATAGGTCACCTGAGTATCATGTAATAACTTTCCAACAACTGAATTTGGTTCATGTTTTAAACCAGAGGCCATGAAATTCACAATTTTGAAAGAGGCACCATTGCTCATCATAAATGTCTGATTAATACCATGGAGCAGATTTCAAAGCATTAATTCATTTTCAGTATATAATCATTAATCATCCCTTTCCTGATGTGTATGCATAGAGTGACAGACCAAGGCATATGGGCATTACAGACCAGTTGCAGTAAAACATGCTTACAGTAAAGTGCCAGAGACAAATGAATTTGCATTATTTATTGCAATCCATGGATCATAACACAGGGCTGAAAACATGAATTTATGAAAAGCACAATTGCTGTGTTTTGATTACCTTATTTAGCCTGCATACCATATCTGGTAGCATTTCAGGTTAAATTTTTTTTTAACTTTTTCAACATTTTTTCAGGGAATGTCGAGTATTCATCTATGTGAGAAAAAATGTAAACTGACCCAAGTTATGTTATATATCGTACGACATATTAGGTATATATATGAAATTCAAGCCTCAAATGAAGGAAAGGAATGTTTTTAAAAAATACACTAACACTGGTTATTCTATGTAGCAATTTCTTGTCATCAAAGACTTTTTTGTGTCAAAAATAAATAAATAGATACATGTATATGTAGTTCAAGCTCTTGATGTTTAACCTGCAAATTTCAGAAATCAATACCTTATTTTCAAGATTTGATGTCCAGTCTTCATCATCTGTACATATAGATGCATCTGTATCCTAAAATTGTCAAGTAAATCAACATTACATTACATTACAGTACATTACATTACATTACACTACATTACATTAAATTACATTATATTACATTACATTACATGTACCTTTAATGTCATAGGTAAAGGAATATCTGGCAGCTCTTCACTGTCTTTCTCAATCTGCAAATGTATTTTGTAGATCCATTATCAATGGTATGTTATATAATTGTGAAAGCTATTGTGAAAAGTCATCAAAGTGATGTTATTTTATTTTTAAAACATAAACAACTGGCTTATTCCAAGGATCGTATAAAAGTTCAAAATTTCAATTCCCCAATTTGGCATACTCTGGTATATAATGGTATATCAGAATGGTATTGTAAAGAGATCAACCTTTTCACAAATAGATTTTTTTTTTTTTTGCTTTGTTGACAAATTTTTTGGTAACACATTTACTATCATTTTGAAAATACAAGCGATTATGTACAATACTTGAAAATGGCATTCTTAGGTGTTTTTTTTAAACCTAACAATATCTTAGAACCAAAGTTTGTAATACAGAACATTACAAGTAATGTTAATTTTGTTTTAAATACAAATACACTTCAGAGGATGCAACTTTATTTCACCGTCAGAGTACATGAAAATCAAACCTGTTGAAATCTGTTGAAAATCATACCCATTAAATTTATACTTGGCCTTTTTAAATTTCCAGTTATTCCCTGTAAGCTTACCAAAAAATAAAGGAATAAAAAAATTTGCTTGAAAATTGACTCAAACTATGGGGAGTGTGTTGGGTGGGAATTGTTAAAACAAAACAAATTCAGTGAGTTTTGTAATCTTACTGATGATTGTCCAGGGCTGGATGTTCTCTTCTCTTTCTGCAAACAAAGGAGTAAATATATATCTGTTAGTGAGAATATATCATTAAGTATTTGTGTGGCAGATCTGTGAATAAAATATAATTTTTTAAATATTTCTAAGTCTCAATTTATCTGAAAAAAAAAAGAATTATCTCCCTTTTTGCAATTTTCTAAGCACCATGGAAACTTAATAGGGATAACATAAAATGCATCAATTAAATGAACACAAGTAAAACCTGTCCAATTGTACATTACTTTAATATGGACTTATATAATTGTAAAAAAAAACACTTTGTTACCTTTGAAGGAGAATGAAGCATGGGTAGATCTTCGTCAATAGCTGCTACATGTACCTATTGTAAAATATGAAATTCAAAATTCAATCTGAAATGGGCAACTCATAGTCTCATATAGATTAAAACTTGCATAGTTCACCAGTTGTAACAATCTGACAAAGTTTAAAGGGCTAAATACAATGCATTTTACAATAATTCATGTATATACTGATTGTTTGTCCATTACCTCATAACCACCAAATATCATCTACATTTGTTTATATAGTGCAGTTAAAATAAAACTGTAATCTTGCTATCCAAGAGAAAATTATCAAATTACCACTTTGGATGGTGTACAAACAGGTGTACTTGTTTTAGGGGTTTCTGTCTTCAATTTCTTTTCCTATAAGAATAATCATTTCTGTAAATTATATGTAGATTGTGTGTAAAATGATATGTGCAAATAAAAAAGTTATTTTTCAAGCAATTTCTTGCATATGATTGATAAATATTCTCTAAGAATTCCTTAAACCAATTATTACTTGTGCTAAACTTACAGGGTCTTCAAACTCGTCTTCCGAGTCAGAGAGGACAATGCGCTGACTTTTTGGCTTCTGTTAAAAAAATTGAAGAATAAATCATAATCATCCAAGGAGAGATACTGTATGATGATTACTTGATATTTATTTTACAATTTATCTGGTTACTGGTTACTGTCAGGCAGTTGGACATCAAAATAAGTCCAATGCACATACACACACACCACTTCTCGGTTAGAAGTTTAAAGAAAAACATCATTTCCTAATTATTTCAGTGAAACAGATGATTATATGAGAACCTGTAAAATTAATCATATTATTTGTAAGACTTTTTTTTCTTGTAATGCATCTGAATTATAGAGATCTATACCTATCATTTGCTGTATGGATTGTATGCATCTATCATATGCTGTATGGTTATCGGAAATAAACCGTGGGCAAAGCGGGCACTTTCAATATATTTACTGACAGAGCCAACCAGTCTTATGAATTTGTATGTATAATTTTCAGCTAAAGGTACAGTATTTCTTTACATGATGGAACTTTATGAGGTTCACAAAATTTATGTGTCATTGTAAGGAAGACAATTAATATACATGTCATGCAAATTTAGAAACCACTGAAATTAAAACTGTATACTGTATAAAGTATCATATGAAGATATCTACCATATCATATGTATTATTAAGGTACTTACATTTACCCCGCTTCCTGACAACACATTATCTGATTCAATGCTTGGACCCTTTAGAAAATACAACAAAATTGCAAGATTGAAAAATATATTAAAATTTAGACATCCAACCAAAGCATTCTATTCAAAATTGTGACTAATGATATCTGTATACTGTAACATAACTGAAATGAACAATGTACATCAGTATCCAAAGCTTAATTGTTATTACAGTTTTACAACAAGGTTTCAATGATTTTTACTTAAAATGTATTTCTGGTATTCTAGCTCTACATAGGAAACTCCTTCCTTCCCTAGCTCTTATATGCTGATAATTTATAATGTTCATAAAACAAGAAAAATCTTTCATAATGCATCATTTTATCAGTCTAGACAGTCATGTGACAGGGTGAATAAAACACCAAGTCTCCCAAGGAATAAATATCATATTCCACTCTTTGTAAGTCACATGTGACCATCATTTGATGTAAACAAAAGAATGAATCTAAAATCTTTGAATATCCAAAATCCTTATATCAGAAAACAAAGTCAGCAATAAATTCAAATGATGAAAGAAAAGGACAAATTAACATAAAAAGGTAAACATTCACTGTGTTTTTACCTTAGTAGGGTTGGAAAACTACTGTAAATCACTTTTTATTTGCGGGAACTTCGTTTTGGCGTAATAATACTAGACAGAGTGCTCACAAAAATTTCATTTTCGCATATATTAGTATTCTTTAAGATTATATAGAGCACTAACCACAATTCGTGAAAACTTTGTCTCACTAATAAAGTGTCAATTACTATCTCGCCAAAATAAGCTGTTGCGAAAATTAAGTGATCTACAGTATTAGGAAAATGAAATATTCTGTTTAAAGAACTACGCACGCTAACTCTCGACTCCCGCCTACATTTTACACCCATTTAATTCAATATTAATGACAATTTGGCCGTAAAATCTTTGTTGAATGCAAAGAACAGTTCAATGGTAATTGACTGATGATATTAATACCAGTGTTAAATAGTTAATTACCCCTAATTCCAGCTCTTTAAGTAAGGGGGTAGACGATATTTTTCACTAAAATCGGACTCTTAAGCATGAACACATTTTAAAATATACTTGGATATGAATAAATGTTCCTTAAATCTTTTCTTATGTTTTACTCATATAAAATTAAACATATTTTATTGATAAAATAAAATGTTTTAGCTGTAAACCCCTTTGAAATTGGTGAAAAAATAAGCATTTTTGTTGTTTTTTGTCTGTAAACATATGCCCCCCCCCCCCCCCCCGTTGAAACACAAAAAGCTTCGGTACAAATTTGTGAAATGACAGTCCATATCACCTGTAAAAAGGAATTTTTGTTTCATGGGGGGGGGAGATGTTTTGAAAATATTTTCCATTTTCCGTTGATTTCTATAGTGAAAAACACAAGTTTTCCCAAAATTATAGAGTTATCTCTCTTTGTTTTCCCAAAGAAGTAACGTTTTATGAAAATTCATATAAATATCTCTATAGATTTGAAAAATCATTCAAATGTGTTAACTTTTGAAAATTGACTTGGATGTAGGCAGGAGAACAATACTATCGTTCGCAGTTCTTAACTTAGTAATAGGTTGTTTGGTATAATAACAATTTACTGCTTGAAAGTTTGGGAGATATTAAGGTTTGATCCCCCCAGAACATAGAGAAAATATCAACTTTATAGCTATTAACTCTCATCTGAGAATAATTGATATCATGATTAATTTTCAAAGTTTAATACTGAATACATCAGCACGACAGACCACCTTTGTTCAGAAAAATTTTCATTTCAAAGTTAAAACAAACCAAAATCAATCAAGTGGAACAAAATAACAAATCTTACTTTTTTGACATTTTTTACAATATTTCCTCGTGCTGTAATTCAATTGTTTGAAACTTAAAAGTATTGACTTGTTTCGTCCATCCACAAATAATAATTAATGATGCCCCAAATGTTAAACCCAAATTCTTACATTTTACTGGGCATCCACATACAAAATCTTAATTAAAACAAGCGTTTCTAAAAAATTCAGAGGGCTCTACTAAAAAAAACAATTGATAATTTATAAATTTAGCATTTATGGACACACACACTTACTTGCATATATTTTAACGTAAAATCCATGGTACTTTCTCTTCCCCTTTGAACGCTTCTTTAATTCTTGGTACTTAAGGTCCCGTGGTAACTTTGTGTACGTTTTATCCTCCAACCTCATAGGTACCATTGTGAATGATGTCTTGAACTTGTTTTCCACACTCTGCATCCAATTGTCCATCGAAGAATCTTTCTCAACTCTCAATATCATAGAAGCATCCACTCCATTGAACAATCGTTGGATCCTTTTCTCATTTTGATCCAAGAAGCGAATTTCTAAACACTGGTGTTTAAGAAGAATTTTTTTTCAAAATCAAATATGTTGAAGTAGGGAGCCTAAATAATTTACAAGTAATAGACCAATTAACTCTGTTAATACATACCAACAACAACAGAAATGCACTAGACACTGAGCTATTTTAAATCAAATTCAATTGGACATTGTCATGATTTGGTTTGAACATTTTAATGTTTTATTTTTCCATTTCTGATATTTACAAAGGTTCATAACAGTACAGTAAAACACATTTATAATGAAATGCTGGGGACATACCATTTTACATCATTATTATCAAACCAACAAAACAATTCACTATAATCAGAAGAACTCTTTAATAAGTGTTGACTTATTTTTAATGACAGCCTTCTGAAAAGACATTACAACACACAAACTGAACACAGGCTTCCATGCATTAAATAACATCCTAATCGCACACAAAACATTCGGCTTTTTCCCTTCATCTACCCCAAAATAATTTGATATTGTTACCAAAGAAATAGCATTCTGTTTCCTGGTTGTCAATTCCATGTCTCAATTGACTTTAATATGACATTGGAATAAAACTGCAGTGAATAGAGAACCCAATTCATTATATAACAATTTAAATTGACGCAATGCATCAAATCAGCTGCAAAAAATATATTTAGCATCTTGAAACATTCCGACAAGAATGAGTCCAAAAGAAAAAAAATTATTAACAGAAAAAAAAGTATATGATAGCTTTAATTTTCTGTGTATTTTTTATTCGTTAATTTTCAGTGATCAATTGTTTCAGAGGAGAGTCGAAAATGTTTGTTAACACACCATATACTAACATAGATGGCAATAGGTTAATTGAGTGATTCATGTGACCCCCCCCCCCCTTTTTTTTAACACCCACACACAAAATAGAAGGTCCAAATTTTTTTCAATCTAATAAACTGATGATGCAAATAATAATGGTGACAAAAACACTTGTATATAACTAATTTGTCTTTAATTTCAAGTCTTTACCTCTGGTTTCTCACTCTCTTTGGAGAAGGTGGTACCAATCATCTTCTTTTTACTGGCGATGAATTTTGCCCTCAAAAAATCCAGTTTAGACTTCACTCCTTCATAGACATAAAAAAAGAAAATCTGTCAATTTACAAATCAGTTGTATATAAATGTAGTAGCTTTCATGTGCATTTTAGTCTTTTCAGTTCATTTATTTGTAAATGTATAATTATGGACTAGATATTTACAAAAATATATATTTTGATTTCTGTACAAACTTGGATTTAAGTGTAATTGCTGACCAAAGTGTATGAGGCAAATTTCTTGTCCATTTTATATTTTGCACATGTTTTGTTGCAGTTATAGATACTGAATTACATATGGATGTTTTAAGTCGGAACATGTTTTAATTTTTGCCTGTGCTATAGTTTACCATAATTCTAGTTACTACATTGTTGTTTAGCATATCATAATACTTGTATGTCCTCAGTTAAATATAAAATTTATTTACCTTCATCTTCAATCCTTTTGAAAGGGCCTGTGGACCCACTTCCACTTGGTTTCTGTTCCGCTTCTAAATGACAACAAATAAAATAATTGTTCTACAATCTAGGAGGACATATTACATGCTTACCATCCATCCATTCATCCATTATCTATCCATTTATCTATCTATCTACTGAATATCTATAAGAATTACCTTCACTTGGTACTGTGATATCACGAGTATCTGCAACCCTGCCTAAACAATAATATCCATTTCATTAATACAATACATTTTCAAACATCCTTATCAAAACCAAATTATTTATATAACTGAATTTCCATTAACTTTAATTCGCCTTTTGCAACTGGTGTGCACTCAACATCAACAGCTGTAAACATGAAAAAAAAAAATCATTTTTATTGTCTATGAACATGTACATATGTCAATACATGGACATAAAATTCATCTTTCATCTCTAACATTAAAATTGTTTTATATTTTACAGCATTTTTATACTGCAATAAATATATTTCTTCATCCCAGACTGTTTTTGTAATACTTATAACAGACACCAATGCTTATTAAAGTTTGTCACACAATTGTCTATATATGCATCTTTTCAAAATTTATTTTGCAACTTTCAGTGAGTGGGAAGGGTTTGCAGCATAGTTGCAATGAAGTGAAAATTGGCGCATTAAATCAACCAGTGGTGTCGCCAAGGTGCACATCCAAATTTCAGCGAAGTTATTTGGAAATATATTGTGAACGACTTTCTTGCTTGTTTTACTTTTGTTTTAAATGTAGTCATGTAAATACAACTGTTACAAATATCACTGGTTAAAACCTGGCAAAAACTGCTTCTTGTTACATGAAGCATTTTTTTAGGGCAACAAAGGTACGTTACCTCATTCATTTTCAATGTTTAATTGAAATTTTCAAAATACACAAAATTATACTGTTTGTGGGTTCCTTAAAATGTGCTACACGGCATACATGAAATATAAAATTTGGTTAATAAAGAAATTGGTTTCCTTTTGTATTTCACATTTGTTTGTCATTTAAAAATTTGTATTTTTCTTAAAATGACCCATCAAAATATATGGATGGCCCATTCATTTTCAAAATGGTCCTTTAAAAACTTTGACAGTTGGACCATAGTCCCATTGCCCTTTATGGCCTTCCCAATCACTGAACTTTTTTCATAATAATTTTGCTAGTGCTCTGGGTGGAATATGATATATTGAATATGACTGACTATAGATATCATATGTATCATTATACGTAAGAGCACATATAATCTATATATAATCATTTTTGAGCAGTTAAGCAATTTATTTTTTCTAAATTGCTCATAATAAATGGCACTTAATTTCGAAATTCAATTATTCTTTAAACCCCATACATACTTTTCTTCTTTACAGCAGTGCCACATTCCCCACAGAACTTGTTGTTGGGTTCTAGGTGACTACCACATTCTATGCAGAACATCCTGCAAAAGTAAACAAATTATAAATAGATAGTATAGTTCCGAATATTTGAAAATTAATTTTGGTCAGTGGATATTCCTATTAGCTCTGAGCTTAAGAGGACAATTTGAATTTTAAATTTGGGAATAGTAAAAGGAAGATACAATGATTGATAGAAATCATCAACCTTAAAAGACATATAGCTTCTATTAATTATATTTTATAAATCTATTGATATAAAAAATAATTTTAGGGATAATAAGATCAATAGTTATGAATGTTAATTGAGTTTCAATACAAAATGAACATTTCATTCGAATTTCCTCGATTATGAAAGACTCGCTCAGTTTTGGGAGAAAGTCAAATAACTGTATAAACTGTATTCATGTATAACTTACATCAAAAAACAAGAATTTTTGTTATTAACACTAAAACAAACAACAAAGAATATTACTGATATATTACTTACATTAAATGTAATCAGTAATGACCACGATCACGATGCCTCCTACATCAAATAAACACGATACCTCCACATCCGCGTCCTTAGAAATCTTGGCCAAATCTCGATCTCTTGAAATCTTGGCCGGCCAAATCTCGATCTTTTGAAATCTTGGCCGTTCATCTCGTAGAAGCTTGGGAATTAATGATCGAGGTCACCCGAAATCTTGGCAATGTACAGGGTCGAGGGTGTACATGGCCAGGGTTATCATGGCCAGGCCTATACGGCCAGGGTACGCGAGCAAAATGGCCAGGCTAGGCTATGTATGGTAGAGGGTTATGGGGAACATGGCCACGCCAAGACATTATTATGCAAGACCAGGTTGAACATGGCCAGCCAGGATAGCTAATCGTCGAATGCAAGATGCATGATAATATACATGGCCAGGGTGAAGATGGCCAGGCCATGTTTAGAAGCGTGGGATAGGCATGGTGCGAACATGGCTAGGCCAGGGTAGTACATGGCCGGGCTAGGCTGTGTATGGTCGGGGTAAACATGACTAGATGGGATGGCCATGCTGCAAACATGGATCGGCCAGGTTGTATACGGCTAGGCCATGATGATAAAGCGTGGGGTGTCCATGATGCAAACATGGGAAGGCCAGGGTAGAAATCATGGGTGGCCAGGGTTAAAACTATAGATTATATAGACCCTGACCCTGGGGGTCCCCTATGGCTTCAAAGATGGGAAGGCCAGGGTAGAAATCATGGGTGGCCAGGGTTAAAACTATAGATTATATAGACCCTGACCCTGGGGGTCCCCTATGGCTTTCCATACATTATTATGCAAGACCAGGTTGAACATGGCCAGCCAGGATAGCTAATCGTCGAATGCAAGATGCATGATAATATACATGGCTAGGGTGAAGATGGCCAGGCCATGTTTAGAAGCGTGGGATAGGCATGGTGCGAACATGGCTAGGCCAGGGTAGTACATGGCCGGGCTAGGCTGTGTATGGTCGGGGTAAACATGACTAGATGGGATGGCCATGCTGCAAACATGGATCGGCCAGGTTGTATACGGCTAGGCCATGATGATAAAGCGTGGGGTGTCCATGATGCAAACATGGGAAGGCCAGGGTAGAAATCATGGGTGGCCAGGGTTAAAACTATAGATTATATAGACCCTGACCCTGGGGGTCCCCTATGGCTTCAAAGATGGGAAGGCCAGGGTAGAAATCATGGGTGGCCAGGGTTAAAACTATAGATTATATAGACCCTGACCCTGGGGGTCCCCTATGGCTTTCCATAAAATACAAACACACTGTTATAAAACCTGTATATTTGATGTTACTTTTCCCCTGCCTTAAAATAAGTGCATAAAGTTTGATAATTCCATCCTGACAGAATAACATGGCAATGCAAAGTGTGTGTCCACACAGGTGAGACATGCACAGCGAAGAACTCTAAACTGTTTAAAGAGGTCTGGACTTATGAAAGGGGTTAATTGTAGGGATAGTGATGAGTAAGTGAAAAATATAGCAAAGTATGCCTTTATTGAGTAGTGTTCAACTTTTAGTTGATCAATCCAAAATTAAAAACAATATTTTTATACAAATGTACAACATACTGGTACATGTATGAATAAACATGTATCATACACCGGGTAAATGGGTATATGTATATGTAAAATATACACATGTGATACTGTTCATATTAAAGTAAGATTAAGAAATAAAATAAAAGTAAAACAATTCATTTCAGTTTTTTATAAAACATATCATGTTCAAAGAGTAAGTACCAGTAATTTATTCAGACACCAGGGGTGGTAGAAGGTTGGTAAGAGCAGTACACACAAAGAATATTTGGTCAGCAAAGTCACTTATTAGCTCACCTGAGCCGAAGGCTCAAGTGAGCTTTTCTGATCACATTTTGTCTGTAGTCCGTCTGTCCGTCTGTCTGTCCGTCTGTCCGTCTGTAAACTTTTCACATTTTCGACTTCTTCTCAAGAACCACTGGGCCAATTTCAACCAAACTTGCCACAAAGTATTCTTGGGTAAAGGGGATTCAAGTTTGTTCAAATGAAGGGCCACGCCCTCTTCCAAGGGGAGATAATTAAGAATTCGTGAAAAATTAATGGCATCATTAAAAAATCTTCTTCTCAAGAACCACTGTGCTTGAAAACATGAAACTTATGTGGAAGCATCCTCAGGTAGTGTAGATTCAAATTTGTTCAAATCATGACCCCCGGGGGTAGGGTGGGGCCGCAATGGGCGATCAAAGTTTTACATAGGAAATATACAGGAAAAATCTTTAAAAATCTTCTTCTCAAGAACAGCAAAGCCATACTTGGTCATATTTATATGGTAGCATCCTCAGATAGTGTACATTCAAGTTTGTTCAAATCATGACCCCCGGGGGTCGGGTGGGGCCACAATGGGCCATCAAAGTTTTACATAGGAATATATAGGAAAAATCTTCAAAAATCTTCTTCTCAAAAACAGCAAAGCCATGATTGGTCATATTTACTTGGAAGCATCCTCAGGTAGTGTAGATTCAAGTTTGTTCAAATCATGACCCCCGGGGATAGGGTGGGGCCACAATGGGCGATCAAAGTTTTACATAGGAATATATAGGAAAAATCTTTAAAAATCTTCTTCTCAAGAATAGCAAAGCCATGATTGGTCATATTTACATGGAAGCATCCTCAGGTAGTGTAGATTCAAATTTGTTCAAATCATGACCCCCGGGGGTCGGGTGGGGCCACAATCGGCGAACAAAGTTTTGCATAGGAATATATAGGAAAAATCTTTATAAATCTTCTTCTCAAGAACAGCAAAGCCATGATTGGTCATATTTACATGGAAGCATCCTCTGATAGTGTAGATTCAAATTTATTCAACTCATGACCCCCGGGGGTCGGGTGGAGCCACAATGGGCGATCAGTTTTACATAGGAACACATAGTAAAAATTCTAAAAAAAAATAACAATTTGTTAAGAATAGCAAAGCCATGATTGGTCATATTTATATGGTAGCATCCTCAGATAGTGTACATACAAATTTGTTCGAATCATGACCCCTGGGGGTCGGGTGGGGCCACAATGGGCGATCAAAGTTTTACATTGGAACACATAGTAAAAATCTTTGAAAAAAACTATTTGTTAAGAATAGCAAAGCCATGATTGGTCATATTCATATGGAAGCATTCTTAGATAGTGTACATTCAAGTTTGTTCAAACATGACCCCTGGGGGTCGGGTGGGGCCACAATGGGTGATCAAAGTTTTACATAGGAATACATAGGTTAAATCTTTAAAAATCTTCTACTCAAGAACAGCAAA